AGTTGATGTATTTGATGAACTTGGATGAGGAATGCAATTACGCACGAACCGCTTGGATTGTAGGCTTCTCGCTATGTCATGAATAAAATATGTAACGTAATTATGTATACAAAAAAAAAAATAAGTACCAACGATATATATTTCATAACTTCAAAATCCCAAACTTGTCAAATTATCAATTTTCCAAATCTCTTAAAACAATTTTAAAACTAATTAATCCTAGTTAAGAGTAACTGAATATACTAAAAATGGATTTTCAACTTGTGTTATCAAGATCTTGAAGATTTATCAATACTACGTCAAGTTTGGGTGGTCTGAACTTACATTCGGAGATAATCGGCCTTTAGAGATCTGGAAGATTCGACTAGATTTTAAGATCTTAAAATGGTGCTGCAATAGTAAATAATAATTTGAATAACTTCCAGTTTCCAAATTTGATGCTATCTGTCTATTAAATATCTTAATTTTGCTTATTCATACTGTTCGAATGGAAATAGCAGCTTGTAGAATCATGAATCAGCTTGTCCGTCAATAACCGAGGACTACATTTAGATGTACTTATGATTCCTGGAAACTTGTGAGAATTGATGAAGTTATGATTTCGGAATTTTTCAGCTTTTGATGATGATGTTGATGGGAATTCATTGCTTGCTTCATTTTCCTGGTAGTGTGGGAATAGTATTGAGTCAGTCAAGATGCCAATTTATTGGTAGAATAATGTTTTCTTTGAAACTAGTCAAAAGTCATAAGAAGTTTACAATAAACCTAAAAAAACCAAAAGACAAAAGCAAAAGAACTTGAAACCTAATACTAATAGATCAGTTGATCTCTAGTTGTTATTCCATTCAAACAAATGATATTGATGACTTCAATTGATGATGAAACTGAAAGGCAAGGGCCCTGTCTGATGTGGAAGATGATTCGGTTGTTATTAGATTGTCGTTTGGGGATGATAACAAAGGTGTTTTTTGAGGCTGGATCTTTCATTGATAGTCTGTATTAGATTGGAGCTTTTGTGACAATTGAAACTTACTGATTGATTGATTTTCAGACTTTTTCACCTATTTTTTTCATCTAATTGTCATAAAGGTTTATGACATGTAGTTGATCTCTCTTTTAATTCTTGTTTTATTTATACGTTTTATATATATTATTCTTTTCTATTATTCATTGTTGTAGTTCCTTGCGTTATGTAGTTTGTAACGTCGTCCCAATTGACTTTGAACATCTATTCACTCATTGAAACCTTTGAAATGAAAACATGTAGCAAAAACCTCCATTATGTTCCCCTATTTCAAAATAATTTAAAAAGAATACAAATCACCATGAAGAACTGAACCTAATAAAACCCGGATAAAAAAGTAAAAAGGAAATGAAAAACCCAATGATAAATGATATCCCCCAGTACCCATACTCAATAAAAGTGCCCCAGATCCCACAATGAAAAATAAAATGCCCCAGATCCCGCAATGAATAATGAGATGCCCCAAATCCCACAATGAAAAAAAAAATCCCCCAGATCCCACAACAAAACTTGAATAAATCAAGAAGTGACAAAGTTTAAAAAAAAAGTTTGAAACAAGTCCAAAGGACAACCAAATGGAAAAAAATAAACAAATGTAATGACAATGTTAAAAGAAATGTTTGTAACAACATGGCAAAAGAAAATCAATGAACAGTAAACAGGTGTAACCCAACAACAATGGAAAGTCAGCAATAAACCTCAAAATGATATGATAAGACAAACATAAATGACTGTAAATAAAAATTAGTAACTGAACATAACAATGATTGATCTTGAAAAAGAAAAGAACAGGTGAGTGATAATACCAAAAAGCAAGAATCGGAAATGAACAATATTGAATGATGAATAAATATCTTTGAAGAAGAGTTAGTAATTGAACATCAAAATGATTGATCATGAAAAGTAAATGATAATACCAAAAACACAAAAATTTGGATCAGATGAAAAATGAATGATGGCCTGGGGTAGATGTCAACGAAACAAAAGAGCACCATTGGGGAATGATATTTTGAAACACGAATTCAAGAACAACAACATATGAGAACAATCATCATTGATTTTATAGAAAAAGAGGCTGGGGGTGGGGTGGGGGGGGGGGGGGGGTAGTTCTTCAAAATCATCAGAATCAAGTAAACATAATAGTCATCCTAGGTTATTTGGAATGAAAAGTTATGGTTATTTCAGCAAGAATCCTCCCAAAGTTGCTGATATAAGTTCAAGGTAACAATGAAACCCAAATACTAAACTCAAAAGAACAAGCTCTCAAATCTTTCAATGGGGGTAGTGAATCAAAGTACTTCCTATCAATCAAGCCCACCACTGACCTTCATAATAGTAACTCATCAACAAGGATAACGTATCTCAAAGGACACTAGATTCAAATGACAAATAAATAAATTCTTTCTAACCATCAAAGTGAAATGTGAAACCATAAAAATATCAAGGGCCTTGAGAACATGAGCTGTCTACCTGGAAATAAATGATGAATGATGAATAATGAATGGAAATGAATGAAAAAACCAACAGTGAACTAAAAGTAGGTGGTAGAAGAATTGAAGAGAATTGGGATTCGACCTTCTTTTAACCTTTTCCAGACCATTTGACACAAAATCCAAAGCAACCAGAAAACACAAAAACACAAACCACAAACACCATAGTAATTGAATTATTCTCCTAAGTAATTCATCTTTGTGTACGTAAAACAATAGGAATTTCGATAGGTAACCACAAAAACGGTACACTTCAACCATTTAACCACAAAAACACCACAGTAATCACAAACACAACCATAGTAAATTTTACCTTTTATGCCATAGAGCCAGCAATGCACCACAAAACACAAAACCATTTTCTGGAAGCAACTGTACATCAACTAAAAGCACTTCAAAGCATCAGTTCAATCGTTAACCAATAAACACATTACGCGCCAATCAGCCAGCAGTAAGCATCCACCAAGCACCTTCATTCGAAGTCACAAGTCCATTAGAAATTTAGCAGTCACAACCACGTTCCAGCGTTATAAGCGCTGTCAATTCAAATTCAGTTTCAATATCAAGTTTGTGTAGTGTATCCTTAAATTTGCAATCTTGGATTTTCCAATTTTTTTAATTATGTCAAAGCTGATCACGTGCCACTAACTATACAAAAATATAACTAATTAAACGTAGTTTGAATACTTTAAAGAAACTATAAATGATACGTAATATACACATACTCTTTATCAGCCAGCTGAATATCTTGGAACAATCTTGATCTCATAAACCAGGCGACGAAACCTTTTCTATCACTCTTAATATACTGACGGTAAATGTTGATACCCACATGACTAAAACCAAGAAAAGGAAAGCAGCCAATGCTCTTTGTTTATCACAAATGGATTCAACTTTTGGGTACATTGAATATTCATCAATTTGACAAACCCATCTTCCATCGTATAAAGTATTGAAAGACAATGATAAGTTTGCACTTGAGAAAATGATGAATAATAAGTCTAATAAGATTAATCTGATTTTGGCAAGTGGGTTTCTGATGCCTAAAGGTTTTGCATTGAATTCGTCCCATGTGATATAGATCAAATAAACCATTGCAATACTTTGAACACAAATTGCCATGATTGTACTTGGTTGTTGTGTAATTGTTCCCGTTTCATCATTTGAATAACGAACTCTTTTTCTTGACAGTCTAAATATATCTGCCGAAAGTGCTAAAGCAACAATACTTAAAATAATGATAAAAATTCTGAAAAATAATGGAATGTAGTTATTGTATAAAAACAATCTTTTGAGTGTTGGCTTCCATTCATCTCTTCTTTCTGTAGACATCCAATAACCAGCCTTTGATCTTGTTTTAGAGTAATCATTATCATCTGAGCTCAGATCTGATTTTGATGAGGTTTTTTGATACCATTTCTTCTCTGAAAGATTTGAGTCTGGATATGAACTTTGATTATTTAAATAGTGTTTCAATCTTTCGTCACCACCCCATTTGCCTGATAAATCTGGCAATCCTTTCAATGCCTCAGTGTCATGATTTAAAACTCCTTCTGCATATGCTGGAGTTGAATCAACAGTTTGGAAAAAAGTGCCCCAATTGTTATTTAATGATGAAATGAAAGGATCTTGAACGGTTTGACCGATATGGTTTGTATTAGTGTAACCCTTTCTGGAATCTTGCTGCTTTGCAGAGTTTGCTATACCATATAGAACATAAGGAGGGACTGTTGTAGCTTCATGAGAATAGTTGCTTATATGGGAGTATGGGTTTGTTGAAGCAGATGTGGAATTGGAAGTTTTGGTTTTAGGATTGAGATATGCCTTTGTGACTTTTGATAGTGGATCATCACTAGGAACGTCTATGGAGACTCTTGGAACTCCATCTTGAGGTTGGTGCTGTTGATTTGCTGAAGCCATTATACTATTTGATGTTTGTGTCTCAAGCAAGGTTTAGAATTATCTTCTTGGTTGATGGCAAGGTGAAATGAACAGAACAAAGTAGCTAATAGAATGAAGATGCAAATTTAAAAGATTAGGAGCTAGTACCTTGAGATTTATGTAGCTTTGAAGTGTTCCAAATTGATGGTTTCCCTACAATTGAGCATTTGTTTATGAATTCCACTTCGAATTTTGGCTTCTCGAAAATATGTCACTTTTTTGAGCAAAGAATGGTTTTCACAGATTGAAATTTCACCTGTCAGAGCTGGAGACCTTTTGGGCTTACGCAGGCCCCTGAGAATCTGAGACCCAGGCAGAGTCAGCCTAGCTCTAGGCGGGATAACTTTGAGCGCTAGGCGGAACAATTTTTTTGTGGTTTGAACGAGAGGATAAATATTCAATAATTATATGAAAGCAAAGAGAACGCACCAACAGGCTGTCAACCTGTTATTCAACTCTTGATTCTATCAATTTTACCAGCTTCACTTCTTGAAAGTTGTCCAGGCAGTGAAGCTCTGTCGGCTTGTAGCGATTAAATCCGAACATCACAGGTTATTTCCCACAAGATTGAGATGATAGATGAGATTGCTGATAAAGTTACTTGTCAAGTTTTCAATCTTCTAGACACCAACGTCTATTGAAAGATTGCCTAAAGAAGTATCTGCATTTGCCCTGAAATCTTAGATTTATATCCTCGAAGGATTTTTTGAACTATAGAATATTTAACCCAAGTTAATTAAATTAGCAACAATCAATTCGAAGGCGTAATGAATATAACTAGAAAATCATTCATACCAACATCTGCTAGTCCAGTGATAAGGCTTAGAAGATTCTATTCCCAGAAGCCCCAAGAAATATCAAATTTAGCAAAAATATTGGTGATTCCTATTACTCAAGAGAAGTCATACATACATTTCAAATATAATGAAGATTTGGTGAATAATGATTCCATTATTGTGAAATATGAAAACAAATTAACTTCAGTGGCTTCTAAAGGTTGGAATAAACTAAAAGAGTCTGATAAGTCGTATAATAAGAAGATTGTTCATTATGTTGAAATGTTTTTGGAAAGAACACCATGGGTCGAAAATTCTCTCATCTCTATACCTTCCAAATCAGCTTTATTAAGACAAGTTTATGACCAAGATGAAACTGATAAAGATCCCCAATATGTGAAGTCTTTGAAAAGTATAGATCAAGTCCAAAATGATCATCAATTATTGAGTATTCCAGTCTATTATCCAGGATCAATATTGTCAGGTTCTCAATTGAAAAGTGAACTGTTGACTTTATCTCAACAAGGCCAAAGATATCATAGAAAACAAATGGCTTGGAATGCAATAGGAATACCGTTGACCTTACCATTTATCATCGTTCCAATTGTTCCAAATATTCCAGGTTTTTATCTTGCATATAGACTTTATTGCAACCTTAAGGCCTTTTTAGGTGCTGAACACTTGGAACATATTGCTATCAGAGAAGATTTGTCGTTTATAGAAAACAGTGACTTGGATGAAGCTTATAAGGGACAAGATGGATCAAGTAAAGTCATATTGACCGAAGAAATAATTGATAATATAACTGAAAGATTTAAAATTGAAGATGTGAAGGGACACTTATTGAAAGCATTAAAACAAGAAAGACAAGCCGTTCAAGGTAAATAGAATTAGACACGATTTAATAGATATTAATGTATGAGAAAATATGATCATGACCATCTTAAGTTTGTACATAGTTTCGATTCTATAACTACTGAACAATACAAGAACCCTAAAGATAATTGTGCCTTGGAAGCCCTGACATCAATCACATGATCAACTTTATGCGAAATACACCCAAACACCAAGTACTTTTCAGCGGTCGGAAATGGGTGTCGGAAATGGGCGTCGTGGAATCGCAAAGTATCGATGGGTTGGACGATGGAGTTATTGAAATTTGAATTTTCAATGTTCAAAGTTGACAACTTCTTTTTTTCTCCTTTTTCAGTCCAACAACGTATTAAACAAATCATTGCAGTATGTGTTGATACTTTTTGGTACCATTGATCATTGTTGAATGAATTGATGAATAACCAAACTATATCCAGAATGAACTAGTTATTAACAATTTTTTTTTATAGAGATGCGTAATAAATGGAGAAAGAAGAGAGTCAGAAGACTTAAGAGAAAGAGACGGAAGGTCAGAGCCAGATCCAAATAAGCGGACTGATCAACTATTATAAAGCTACTATTAATTAAAAGCTGCTGCTGAAGCTCTCCATTATGTTTTGAATATTGTTTAATTTTTGGTGATGAATTGATGCTGTTATGAAATTGGTTTTTTGATTGATGTGTTGCTTTTTTATTGTTATCATTTAAGAGATGCTGGTTCTTTTTATCAAAGTTACCATTATGTTTTGAAGTGTTTTATGCTGGGGGTTTTACTTTTAGTTTGGTGCATTTTGATTCATTTTGTCCGTATATAAAACTAAATGTATGATTTATCATATGTTTTAATAACTTTGTAAAGATCCTTTAGGAGCTATTGTGCGCTCACTAACTAACGATTAGATATACCTATGTGAAGGTCCATTGTGTACAGATCATCATCCTGGCTTCCAGTATCTAATTGCTTTGGACGTCAATAAACCACCTGAAGCCAGTCTAAGATCATCGATTGGAACTATTTTGCCAATACACATAGCACAGCTTTTTTTCGAGAGGCGTACTCACAAATTATAGCTTATTGTCTAAGAAACAAGGTGGATCTTGGTTCTTGAGACTAATTTACAGGCACCAGAGCTCTTCATTGCGCGATGAGTATAACTAGCAGAAGACCTCAACAATTATACATCAATGTGGTCATAATTGGGTATAGTACTTGTTGCTCGAGGGTGCTTACAAACATAACAACAAACCTGTAATAATCATTGATTCACTATTACTACACTACAAGTTTTATTGGTGTTGAATTCTTCTCAGCAGCTTCACGGTTTTTGTTTCATGGAATGCTGTACCCAAACTCGTTTATCCATCGTAAAAGCATGAAAACAATTCAACAACTAAAATTCAACAACTAAAATTCAACAACGACTAGAGAATTCCACAATGCCATAACATTCTACTTCTATCCTTTATACCTCACATCAATCTCGTTGAAGAATAGTTTTGATTCAAATATTCAAGAGGAAGATAAAAATTACATAATCGAAGCAGCAATACAGGGTAAATCAGCTGAATTTCATACGCAAATTGTTCACCGTGGGCCCCCTAATCTAAGAAACTCTTTATCAATAGCCTAATTTATCAGCTTTCAATTGGGACATAATCATCAAGAAAGTCTAGCAATTCTCATCCTTTGATTAACCAAAACATTACATCGTTAATTGAGAATGGTAAGTGATTCAGTGCCGTCGTTATTTGTCGAGGAATGTACGATAAAACTAACTAAAGTCCATAGGCTGGTGCTATCGAAAACGCTCGTAAAGAGATCAAACGTATCTCCTTAGAAGACCACAAGGAGTCTGAATATGGTCAAATCTATTCTGTTTCTGGTCCTGTCGTTATCGCAGAAAACATGATTGGTTGTGCGATGTACGAATTAGTTAAAGTCGGTCATGATAATTTGGTTGGTGAAGTTATTAGAATTGACGCTGATAAGGCAACCATCCAAGTTTATGAAGAAACTGCAGGTGTTACTGTTGGTGATCCAGTCTTAAGAACTGGTAAACCTTTATCTGTTGAATTGGGTCCAGGTTTGATGGAAACTATTTATGATGGTATTCAAAGACCTTTGAAGACTATCAAAGAACAATCTCAATCCATTTATATTCCAAGAGGTATTGATGCCCCAGCATTATCAAGATCAATTGAATATGATTTCAAACCAGGATCATTGAAAGTTGGTGACCATATCAGTGGAGGGGATATCTTTGGTTCTATCTTTGAAAATTCATTATTAGATGACCATAAAATCTTGTTGCCTCCAAGAGCTAGAGGTACTATTACATCTATTGCCGAAGCAGGCTCATACAATATTGATGCACCAATTTTGGAAGTTGAATTCGATGGTGTTAAACATGAATACTCAATGTACCATACATGGCCTGTTCGTGTTCCAAGACCTGTTGCTGAAAAATTGTCTGCTGATTACCCATTATTGACAGGTCAAAGAGTTTTAGATTCATTATTCCCATGTGTTCAAGGTGGTACTACCTGTATTCCTGGTGCCTTCGGTTGTGGTAAAACTGTTATTTCACAATCATTATCGAAATTCTCAAACTCAGATGCTATTATTTATGTTGGTTGTTTCGCTAAAGGTACTGATGTTATCATGTATGATGGTTCTGACGAAAAAATTGAAAACATTAGAGTTGGTGACAGGGTTTTGGGTAAAGATGGTACATCAAGAGAAGTTGTTGCCTTACCAAGAGGTAACGATACCATGTACAAAGTTACTCAAAAATCTTCCAAAGCTGATGTCAGCAATATTTCATTCACCTGTAACGCTACACATTTATTAGTTGTTAACACTCCACAAAGCATAAAGTTAATTGAAGACAATGTTAATGGTAAAACCTGCACTCAAGTTGCATATTTTGATATGGCTAATGAAGTCGTTGATCGTCGTCCAATCAAAATAGTGAAGGAACAAATCAAATCATTTGAACATGAGTTGTTTGGTGGTGCTTCAAAAGCTTTCGAACAAGCTACATTATTTATGTCATCATTGAACCGTGAAGGTTTCGAATGGACTATTGAAGCTAGAGATTACAAGTTGTTGCAAACATCAGTCCAAAGAGCTACAAGACAAATGATCAGTCCATGTCTATTGGAAACCAACCATATTGAACAATCACTTGTTAAACGTGGTGTTTCACAAGAATCTACTCCAGCTTTTGCTTACCTCATTGGTTTATTGGCAGCACAAGATTCCAAAGCTAAAGAATTTGCTTCAAAGAACAACTTCAATGAGACTATCCAAGAACTTGCGAACACTTACAAAAGCTTACCAAGTCAATTATCTTATGACAATATTGAAATCCGTGAATATGTTTTAGCTGCATTGATCGATTCAAATGGTAAAGTTGGTCAACAAAATACTGTTATTGAAACCACTGATGTTGAAGTCCGTGACAGTATGGTTAAACTTGCACGTTCCCTTGCAATTCGTGCTTCGGCTCAAGAATCTTCTGTTACTTTAAGTGGTGAAGCTTTATCTTCTGTTTTGAACAAATGTACTGTTGCTGGTAAACAATTAGCTGAAATGAGATCAATTGAACGCAAAGCTGAAGCTTTCCAATTTAGTTTGAAGACTGCTGGTACTGATGATTACTATGGTATCACTTTATCTGATGAATCAGATCATCAATTCTTATTATCAAACTTGGCTTTGGTTCATAACTGTGGTGAAAGAGGTAATGAAATGGCTGAAGTCTTGATGGAATTCCCAGAACTTTACACTGAAATTTCAGGTCGTAAAGAACCAATCATGAAGCGTACCACATTAGTTGCTAATACTTCTAACATGCCTGTCGCTGCCAGAGAAGCCTCTATTTATACTGGTATTACTCTAGCTGAATATTTCAGAGATCAAGGTAAAAACGTTTCCATGATTGCTGATTCATCTTCAAGATGGGCCGAAGCTTTGAGAGAAATTTCAGGTCGTCTTGGTGAAATGCCTGCTGATCAAGGTTTCCCAGCTTATTTAGGTGCCAAATTGGCTTCTTTCTACGAGAGAGCCGGTAAAGCTGTCGCTTTAGGTTCATCAGACCGTGTTGGTTCTGTTTCTATTGTTGCTGCTGTTTCACCAGCTGGTGGTGATTTCTCAGATCCTGTCACTACGTCAACTTTAGGTATTACTCAAGTTTTCTGGGGTTTAGATAAAAAATTAGCCCAAAGAAAACATTTCCCATCTATCAACACTTCTGTTTCATACTCCAAATATACCAATGTCTTGAACAAATATTATGATGGTAATTATCCAGAATTTCCAGCTTTAAGAGATAGAATAAGAGAAATTTTGTCAAATGCCGAAGAATTGGAACAAGTTGTCCAATTAGTTGGTAAATCTGCTTTATCTGACTCTGATAAAATTACTTTAGATGTTGCCACATTAATCAAAGAAGATTTCTTACAACAAAATGGTTACTCCTCATATGATGCTTTCTGTCCAATTTGGAAAACTTTTGATATGATGAGAGCTTTTGTTGGTTATTACGAAGAAGCTCAAAAAGCTGTTGCTAATGGTGCTAACTGGTCCAAATTATCAGAACAAACTTCTGAAGTGAAACATTCTGTTTCATCAGCTAAGTTCTTTGAACCATCAAAAGGTGAAAAAGCCGGTAGAGAAGAATTTGAAAAATTAGTTCAATCCATCTCAGAAAGATTCGCCGAAGCAAGCGAATAAGCAGTTTATTTGATCAATTGCTTTTCTCTTATACGTTTAGACCAGTTTATTTTTTTGTTTTGTCATTAATCATAATGTTTTGAAGAGAAAGTAATAAGAACATAAAAAAATTAATTAAAATAACAGTGTAGTATTCATTCTCTCTATACTAGGTTGAATCTATCTATTGTTCATATATGCGATAAGGGTCTGCAGGCTCAAAATTGCACGCAAAACAATTGACACATTCCAGCCATATTTCACACCAAGCTTCCACCGTCGCAGACCAACAACTTAATTCAGAATTTTCATCCTGCAAGTAATGACTATTTAATGCATTCTCAGTTTCTTGTTGATTGAAAACAAGTTGGGTAAATATATGTTCTGGTTGGTTCTTCACTAACAGCTCGACATCTGAATTATCCAATGGTCGAGCTTCCACAGTCTGCGCTGTCTGACTACTAGTGGTCACAACATCCGGTGTCAACTTTGGGGTATGAGCACCAGTTCCATTATTCATTTCTCTAAGATTTAGCATCATTGAAGAAGACACCGATCCGGAAACTGGCTGCATTGTTGTATGGAAATTTAAGCTTTCTTGGATAGAACAATTATCATCATCTTCAGTCTCCTCCTCCTCATCATTAAGATTTGTGTCTTCTGTTCCTTTCACAGATGTACTGCCGTTGTATTCTCTAAAAGTAGCCCTGAGTCTATCATTTCGCTGAATTGTGGATTGTTCAGGATTAACAAAAGGTGATCTAGCGATGCTATTAACCATACTATCTGTTGAATTGTTCCCTGTTGTTTCAATTATAGCAGCTGATGGATATTGCAGATTTATGTCATTTGAAGTTTCATGATTTGGTAGACTGCTTTGTTGAAAGGGATGTTTACCACTTAGTATATCATCTGCTCGAAATGAAGATCCAGGAGCTCTCCATCTAACTATTTGTTCCTCCATATAATCAACCAATCTATCACTTGTAGGTAGTAGCCTGCTTGATTGCCTTGATATGATAGTTTGTCTTAGCGAGGGTCTCCCTAAAGTTGAGTGTATTGGAGCATTTGGAACGTAAGGTGGTGTATGTAAAAGTTGATCTAAATGGACTGAATCTGGCAATTCATGCAAGTTGTCATACGCTTCTTCATTCTGGTCACAAAGAGGTTTAACTCTGTAGTCCACAGACTCATTGGTAGAAGGTTGGGCTGAAGCAGCTAGCCCTTGCTGGTTGCTGAAAAAAGAGTAGTTTGATCTTGCTGTGACATATTGTGAAGCTGGGTGCGCTGTTGTTTGACTGGGAAGCTCAGATGTTGCATTCGAGTCACGAAGATAGGAAATTTCACTGTTTAAATGTGAGCTTGAGTTTGCTGTGATGTATATGGAGCCTTGGTTTGATTTTGAACTTGATTTTTCTTGACGAGAAGCTTGAGGAGCCTCATTTAGTGAAACAGGAGTGACTTGGGGTGGACTTGTTAATTCTGAACTGCTACTGGGGGAGCATGTATCACTCATAGCTGGACAAAACCGAAATCATACAGCCTTTCATACTATCAAACAGACCCTATAACCCCTGAATAGATGTTTTTTTATTGAGTCTTTTGCGACACTTTGTCTTTGGATTCATCATGACACAAAATCAACATTTGACTGGGAACCCGAAAACCCACAGGATCAATCATCATGAAAACAACTATTGAAGAGGTCCAGACCAAAAAGTTCAAGCTAATTTAGTCAGGCTGCTATACTGATTTTTGCATAGTTTAAACCATTATCACCATCACCAACTTTTGTAACCATTGTGAATCAGATGTACCTTAGGTAGCAACAAGAAGACTCAGCAAGCGACATAGATTGTTCTTCATTATCGAAACGGCACAGTAAATCATAAAACCAGCCTCCCACCTTCCACCTTCTTCGAAAGCCTCAGGTGTGTAAGCCGCCTCCTCTGGACCCTTTTGATGTAGAAATACTTGTTTTGATTTCTTTGACAGGAGAAGAACAGGGCCGCCAACCATAGAATACGAGCTGTATAATTTTTTAAAAACAAGGAACAACAAGAGCCAATAGAAGCTAAATAGTGGGAATCAATGTTACATAAAAAGGGAGATAATAAGCTTGATAAAGTAACTGAAGCGGATGCTGCTATAGAACTTGACTTTACCAAGTCAGAGACCACGACGCTGACAGGGACGGAAAAGGATGAAGCCATCAAGTTTTTAAGTGATACCAAGGTGACAATTCTTTCAGATGGTCCTTCGAAATACCCTAAAAAGTTGATAAGGAAGATAGATTGGAGGATCATGACCGTTATGTGTGGCTCATATTTCCTTCAGTTCTTGGATAAAAACTTGTTAAACTATGCTGGTGTCATGGGTATAAAGAAAAATTTGAAAGGAAATCAATTTGCTGATTTGGGTACAATATTCTATGCTGCCTACATCTTTGCAGAACCACTATCTGATTACTGTCTACAGGTACTACCAACTGGGAAGTTTTTGTCTTGTTGCATTATTGCTTGGGGTGTAGTTGTGGCATGTCATGCTGCCTGTCATACTTATTCCAGTTTGATGGTTGTTCGAACACTTTTAGGATTTTTTGAATCATCATTGTCCCCTGGGTTGATTGTGATTTCATCAATGTGGTATAACAAGCAAGAAAACTTACAAAGAACTGGTCTATGGGTCTCTACTGCTGGGTTAAGTGTTATTGTCGGTGGATTATTATCTTTTGGGTTTCAACACATTCATTCAGATTTCGAATCATGGAGAATATTTTTCCTAGTTATGGGTGTGATTACAATTGCTTTTGGTATATTCACTTACTTCTTCCTACCAAATAATCCAACAAGTGCTAGTTTCCTTACAGAAGAGGAGAAGATATTAGTTCTTGAGCATATAAGAGGTAACCAAACTGGTACTGAAACAAAGAAATTTAAGATCAAACAAATCAAGGAATTGCTATTCAAAGATAAACATACTTGGCCATTGTTTTTCCTAACCACAATTTCAATGATTTCAACTGGTGCGTTGGGTACTTGGTCAGTAACAATTATTGCATCTTTTGGATTCTCGAGTGAAATTGCAGCTTTAGTTCAAATGCCCGTGGGTGCAGCTATGGTCATTGCAATCTTAACAGAATCATACTTGTGCTCATATATTGGGAGAAGAACATTGATCTTTACAGGGATGTGTGTTCCTGGTATCGTTGGTTATATTATTCTACTCACAACCAAGAATAAAGTGGCCAACTTGATTGCAATTTACTTGAATATGGGATCCACTGGTGTTATAGCTTTGTTGTATTCATGGAATAGTGCAAATACAGCTGGCCACACCAAGAAGCTAGCACGTAACGGACTTACAATGATTGCCTTTTCTTTGGGTTCTTTGATTGGGCCCCAATTATTCAGAGCTCATGAGAAACCAGATTACAGATCTGCCAAAGTGACATTGCTAATCACTTCAATAGTGTGTGTTCCTTTGTCTTTAATAGTTGGATTAATTTCGAAAAGAGAAAATGAAAAGAAGGATAAAGAAGGACCAGTCCCTCTTCCACCAAACTATGAATTCAAAGACCTTACCGATATTGAGAATCCTAATTTTAGATATTCCTATTAGAATACTGCTTATTATATTTATTTAGCCAATATATCCTGTACATACTTTAATTTATTGTTTATAGATTCAATTTGTATGACGCATTGTTGATGATGTTTGACTCGGTCTTAGACTCTTGACCTCGCGATAAGAAAGAAAAAATTAACGAACAGGAGCATCAAGATTAATAATCCCTTTCATCTTACAATTCACTGTCATCAACACCAAGTGGATTCTTATATGAATACAACCACTTTATTCTCAAATATTATGAAAATGGGTGCTGATCTAACTCCAGCTGTCGTTGGTGCTTTACAATGCCAAAAGAACTCTTTTTTGAAGGAATTTTCAACAACTGTTATATCATGTACTGAAGAGAAACCAGAACCTGTTGCAAAAGGGAAGAAATCTAAGTCAAAGGACGTAGCAGTTGCCACTCCAAAATTTGCTGTTGAATTGCAAGATACTATTTTGTTTCCCGAGGGTGGTGGTCAACCATCTGATCAAGGGTATATAATTTCAAAAGATCAGAAGAAACATCATGTCTCATTCATCAGAAGAGACAAGCTTCGTGCAGTTCATCTTGTTGATGAACCAATAGAAGCAGGATCTGCTGTGAAGCTTGAGCTTGATTGGAAAAGAAGATTAGATCATATGCAACAACATACAGGTCAACATCTATTGTCAGCCATACTGGATAAATATGACTTACCAACTCTGAGTTGGAGTATGGGGGAAATGATTAATTACATTGAATTACCTCGTGCATTATCTAATGAAGAAGTTGAAGAAATTAGCAGCGTTGTCAACGAAAAGATTGTGGAAAGTATTGATATCTCTGTGGATACTCCACATAAAGATTTAGTTAATCAAGGAAAGATGCCTGATGATTATGATGTTGAAAAAGGTGTTTTACGCGTTGTTAAGATTGGCGAATTGGATCAAAACCCATGCTGTGGAACCCATTTATCATCTACTTCCCAGATCTTGTCAATTGCCTTATTGCATCAAACTTCAGTTAGAGGAACAAACTCAAGATTACACTTTTTGGCTGGTGATCGTGTACGTCAATATGCTGTGTATACTCACAAATTATTGAAACAATCTTCCAATGAACTTTCATGTCAATTTGATGAGATTACTGATAAGCTACAACAGTTGAATGTAAACTATAGAAAAACCACAAAGAGTGAAGGATCATGGAAAGAGGAAGTTGCAGGCTACCAATCCAAAGAATTGTTAAGAAAACTAGAAACTTCTGATGTTGGATTTATTCACAAAGCTGATGCTGGATTAGACTATTTGATGATGATTTTCAAAGTCGTTTCCAAGGTGATTCCCGAAGGGAAAACCGTTGTTTTGATTTCTGGTGAAGGTAAAGAAGGTGGATCAACTATAATTTTCGGTTCAGATAATGAAAAAGTTTCTGAAATTGCTAAAAATTTACAATCATCAATATTTGGTTTGAAAGGTGGTGGTAAAGGAAAATGGCAAGGTAAAATAAGCTCATTTCAAAAAGGTGAACTTGAGAACGCTTTGTCATATCTACAATCCTTATGAAATGTTTCATAGGTATTTATGTCCTCGTTATCATTGTCCCAATATATGCTATATGTTAGAGTTTATTTCTCTGTTAGTTTTCGTTATTTCATTACCTTTTCAAAAATTGAGGAATCAATCCACTTATTCTCCATCTCCATCTCAATTTTTTCTTTGCTTCGAGTAACCAAATTGCAGATTTTTGGTCAATCTGTTGCCTTTGTGTGGTGCCTTTATACTCTAACTGGTTTTGTAATTTGCTAACCAGTGTTGATGAAAATCCATGTAGATCATTATTTCTGGATTTTTTATTTGCAGGTTGATTTAATAATTCTTCAATATCATCAATTGAAGCATCTTCGGGTATAGCTCGTAGTTCTGAGATTGAGTGGTCAAAATTATCAATCAAATTTGAAAGCATCTCATACCTTTCTGTACAATTTGAGCAAACAAATTCTGTGAATTGAGAATCCTGGGTTAACAAGCTACTCAGTTCATATAACGGAGTTTCACAAATGACACAATATTTCAATGACGAAGAAGCTGAAGGCATGGTGAATTCACCCAGTGTCATATCATGAGAATCAGTCAATTTTAAAGTTGGAGCATTTGAAATGTTTGTATGAATTGAGCATGCCGACGATAATGTTTGTGAAGTTTTTGCACTATAAAAATCAGTTGTTGCAATGCTTCCTTCTTCTTCAGCCGAGCATTTGGTGAGAAGTAGTGAGCTTGTTTGTGATGTACCAAGCTGTGATTGATGTGAACTGATGGTTTCTGAAAGTATAGATTTGGCTTTTGTTAAATAATTAGGACCTTCTGGTAAGTCAGCTGGATTCATCGATTCATATGTCTTTAGCGATGTTTTCAAATCAACAACAGATAATTTTCTTCTTCCCAACTCTTTTGCCTTTATATAATCTTCAACTAAAACTATTGGATCTATTTCAAAAAGTTGTGAGTCTGGTCGACTGCTTGGGATCTCTTGTGCATTAATTTCAGGACTTTTTAAGCTTTCAGTCACTTTTTCAGATGATGGAGGTGGTGCCAATGGGAATGACGTTAGTTGTGAGTTATCTAGCATATCCAATCTTGACTTCTTGTTTTTGAGTATCTGCTGTTCGTGGGCGAAGATTTGGGTATATTTGGATGGTTCACGAGTTTCAGTATCTTTATAAATTTGAGGCTTGAGTGATGTTGGTGAAAAGGTGCTTTTGATACTTCTATGTTGGAATGATGGACTCACATTCGACTTATGCGCTCTCCTTATGGTGCTCGTACTGTGAATACTACTTGGTTTATTATCCCTCATGTTGATACTATTTGTGATATCGTTCATGACTGGTTTGGGGTTAGAATTTTAAACGATTGTTGTGAGGTGAGGTGGTCAGGTTTTTGTTGGGTATTTGAGGAATGGTGATGGTTTATATGTGAAGCCGAAATCAAAGAGATAAAGAGGTTGATAGATATGAGATGAGTGAGTTTTGTTTCTTATGTTTTTCCTTGTGATAGTGGACTTTTGAGCTTGAGTGTCATATTTTTAGTTGTTTTAAAATTCATCCCAGTCTGAAATGTAAACACGCATTACTCTTTTCAGAAATTGTTTGCAGATGCACGCAAAATGGTAAGCGCCACAGAAACCGTTTTCTAGAAATCCCGTCAAATTTGAGTTAAAGAAAAATACAAAAGATACTGAAATGATGGTAATTGACAAGGTTTGAATAGCTATTACAATTGTTGAATTGGGTATAATGTTCGTTCATTTATTCGTAAGGACTTTGTTGGTGGTGTAAGCTGTAGAATTTACGCGTATCAACCACGAAAATCTGTCTCTCCGTTTCTGGAGACCAGAACTTCCTGAAGTGTATCTAAGTGCTGATCCTGTCCTCCAAAAGGACTCTTTCTTTGCCTTGTTTTAATTTGAAGTCAGTTGGTACAGAGGTACACTGTGATCAAGAGGAAAAGTGATAAGATTCATCATCATAGAAAGGATATCGTGTCTAATTTCTCTTGAGTCAATTCAACATTTAAAGCATCTTTTTCAGCACACGCTTTCAAAACACCAAGTTCCATTTGTATTTTGAGATTTTTGATCTTTTGTTCCTTGATTTGATTCTCTATCTTTTCCTGATCTGCATAAATGGCTTCTTGCTCTTCCATCACTTCTTTCAACTTGAAATTCAGCTCTGAATCTTCAAAATTTGCAGCATCTAATTTCAGTATTTGGATCCATGGTGACTTATAGCTCTTCTTTTCTGGTTCCACACGATGTGGTGATTGATTGTTGGATTCAGGAGAATCATGGTATGAGTGTGCACCATTCAAGGAATTAGCTCTTGAGTTAGGAGTTGAAGGTCCATGTGCGTAACTTTCACGACGATATGGACTATAACCGTCTCTTGGCTTATAGCCACCCCTATAAGAGCCTCTATAGGAACCTCTTCCTCCCCTGTAACCACCTCTAAAGTCATCTCTTGAAGAACGGTTGTAGCCTTCAACTTCTGGTAAAGAATTTCTCTTAGCTTCTTGAGTAGAAGCAGATGCGTCTTCAGATTCTCTTGGTTCAGAATCACGTCTAAAGGAATCAGAATTGTGTCTTGGGGCAGCTGATGGAGATGAATATGAGTCTCTTTGATATTCTTGAGAGTTATAAGAGCCATGATAACCTGACTGATAGCCACCACCTCTGCCACCTCTATAGCTACTCCCTCTATATCCACCTCTATAGTCTCCACGGCCGCTTTCTCTCACATAACCACCTCTGCCTCTTCCACCTCTTTCATAACCTTCTCTTCTATGATATGGTTCACCATATGAACTATTTCCAGAACTACCACTAAAAAAAACCGAATGTTAGTATATAAACAGTTTGAAAAACCAGTAGAGAGCATTTACATACGCCGAGTAAGGTCTACCGCTCATATTTGATATCCTTTTGAAGATTAAATTATTGTTATGGTTGATGACTTTGTTTTGGTGGTTGTCTGCCATTTTGGTTTCTATGGCATCGGTTTTTTTTTTCAAGACACTTTTATTAACAGCCCGCGAAAATTACCCTCAAGTAAGAACATATAGATGAGCGCCGCCGCCTCAAGATATATGTCTCTACATCATTCTTTTGCTATTTTTTTTATTATCATTTATTCATGTTCTATAAGATGTCATAATTTGAGAATATGGTACATCACCATCATTAGAATCGTTAGCCCAAATTAAAATATCGTTCAAAATTTTTGCAGATTTCTTCATTTCAAATCTCCATTCTTCTTCTCTCATTCTATATTCCAAAATTTCACAACCTTCAATCAAGATATTGTGACCATTCACCTCTTTTATTTTTTTAAAATTAATCAATGGTTTAAAATCTGTAAAATTTAAAATGTTTCTAATTTCTAAGACAGCTAATTTAGAAAGATAACCATCTCTAATGATTCTTGGTAACGAATTATTTGTTAACTGGACACAATTATTCAAAGAGAGTCTTGATATGGAATCACTGCAATAATAAGCTAAATCCCAAACACCACGATCAGTAATTGAACAACCAGCAAGACCTAAGGTTTCAATTTTGGTATTTCTTGACAAAACAGCTAATGAATCATCTGTTATCAAGTCACCATTTGAATGACGACCTAAATTCAAATTAATCAATTTTGGACAATATTGTGCAATCAAACAAATACCTTGATCAGAAACCAACTCACAAGCTCTTAGGTCTAAAATTTCTAGCTTTGGACAATTTTTGGCAACTAACTTAAGGAAATCATCATTGACCATTCTTGAGCCTGGTAAAACTAATTTTTTCAACAATGAGCCTGTCAACATTATTGGAGGTGGTAAAACTTTAGGACATATATACATTTCAACCCATTCTAAACCACCACTAATTGAAGGAGCCACTATTTCCAAATCTTGTTGCTTTGCCTTAGTTAGCTTATGCATGATGAATAATGAAGTATTTGAAACTGTTCTTTGTGGTTTAGTTCTTTTGGTTTTTTCAACAAAGCTTGACCATTTTCTTTCATCTGAAAAGAATAATTTGATAGAAGCAACTTCCAGAGTTACTCTATACCAAAGTTTATTAACCAAAAGACAATTGTATAAACTATTTGAAGTTTTTGATAAGTTATTAGTCTGTGGGTTCCCATCATTTTGTAAACTTGATTCACAAGCATCTCTCCAAACTTTCAGCGCTTTACGTTCATCTTTATAAATCAGTAATGCATGTTGGTAAGATAATGGTCTTCTTCTGATTGGGGAGGCTTCATGAGGTACTGATGATGAACAGTCAACATATGAAATGATTTTGGAAACAATCTCAGGCATATGGAAAATTGGATGTGATTCTGAAACTGTTAATGATAAACCTGACAATTGATTATTCATGGAATCATCTGAATCATAACAGTTAGCCTCACAATCAAATTTCAGATTTTTGCAAACAATTTCTTTCTTTGTGAAATCAAAAATTGAAGATTCAACATTAGGTGAAGGTGGTGAATAGAAACTAAATGGTGATTCGCTTGATGGAACTGAATTTGACGAGGAATTGATTGAAGCTGTAGAAGGTGAAACTTCACCATCTGATACTGGTGATTGATAGACTGATTTGGGACTGGAGAATGCATTTTTGAAGCTTGTCAAAATCTTATTTCTTTTCCCTAGTAGATGGCGGCTTGGTTTCTTTGGTGTTGAAGGAGGAGATGAAAGGAATATTGAAGAGTTTCTTGGGCTGTTGTTCCGCTTCAATGGTCTTGACTCATGATCATTTTGTAAAGTTGAAGTTGATGCAGGTTCTTCTCTTGATCTTTTAATGGAACTTGAGCTCTTGATATCTGGAAGTGAGCTATTCATCATATAAGTGTATCAAACAAAGTTCTTAATGTTAAAATTATAAACCACAGATGGTAACTGGTAATAAATGGTATCTGAAGTGATAAAACTTGTAAATTAGAAGTGAAAACAAAAGTGAATTAATCAAATGAGTGGACGTCAACGCAAATTAATGGCGACAAAAGTGTAAAACTGAGCGAACTAGTAAATTTTGTAAAAATTTATAAGGAATAGCTGAACAAAACCAAATTATTCAACTACCTGGGCAGGGATAAGTATATAGGGCGTCTTTGGGTGATGGGTGCTGAAAAAGGTGTTGATGATGTTGATAGTATCCCCCCTTTCAATGAAGATTGATTGCCCTTTGAATATAATTATTCAACTCTGGTGAATGATAATGTTTGACTAGAACTCAAAGCCCTCAAGAAATGACTATGAATATGGTACCTTACTTGTCAAAAGGATTTGAGTAGGTATTTATATGAACAGGTATTGAAAAAGGCTAGCTGTATGTATGATATTTTATACCAAAGGGGGCCGGTGTATGTTGAAAGTAGAAAGCCTCACCGCATCCTGAAACCATCCAATTTTCCTCTGAGGATAAGTTGAAATTTCCCCCTTAAGAGTGTAGTGGCATGCATGTCATTACGTTTGTAGCTTAAGCGAAAGGGCTTGACCAACTTAAATTGGGATGTATAGTGTCCATTATTGTTCAGGATGGCTGGTTTATCACCGAAAAGATGAAAAAGTGTTGATAATTTGAGTGGTTGGCCCACACCATTTTAGCTAAAAGCGAGATCCCTGAACTTCAAAGGGCCTAAATTTTTGAAATGATGTGCTTATTTTTTAGTCAGAGGGTTCTTAGAAAATATATCAAGATGCATCCTTGTTGATTACCAGCTCAAGTTTCAAATGCCACCCGAAGTAGCAGTCTTTACGCTCCCAATTGGTGCTGTCTCGATACTGGATTCGATCATCGCGCAAAAATAAAGTGAATATCAGTGCTCGAGAAACATGGTTTGTTGTTCGTCTTGAATAGCTGGATATGCCTTTCAATGTCTGGATATCGAGATTCAATGAACATCATTTTGACTAGTGTCGTGTTGGTATCTTTTTGTTACTGATCTTTAAATTAAAGCGACAGCTAGGTGTATGCACTAATACTCAAACAGAACGTGAAGTTGACCAACCTCCAAGAATAAAGTAGCTTATCTTGACAAGTCTTGGAATTATCAATAGTATTAGTATTGTCTCAAGATTTCGAAAAGCGTTCTATACATCAATTGTAATAATGTTGATAATAGTTTTTCAGTCTCATAAACATTGTGTGAAGTTCATAGACATGCATCTTATTATCAGAATTTACGTCCAGTTTCTAGAACATAGTTCAGGCGCTGACCACCTTTTAACTGGAGCATCATGTTGCTTTCAGGTCCAAGAAGATAACATAAGACAAGTAACGGTCAAATATTCGATAACTGTTCAGCCAAGGACCTTACGGTGATCAACTGTGCAGCATTGTGTACTTAGTGAAGCTAAATTAGGGATTACATCTTTGAAGTTTGCACAAAAGTTTTTGAGGTACAGCGTAAACCTCAGAATGGATATAGCGAATTGTGATAGCAACTAGCGTAATTGTGAGAACACCATGCTTTCTGTGATTGAAATTTGTTGAGAGAAAATTATAGCACAAATTTTGATCAAACAGACCAAACAACCCCAAAAACGATACCAACGAAAGGATAAAAGATTATGATGGCCATAGATCCTCCCGTTTACTCACAGAACAATAATACTTCAATTCTTTGAATTCTTTGTTGGTTGTTTAGCTTCTGCTTAGTCAGCCAGTGCGTTTTTGTTTTTCGTTTTTTTTATCTTCATCATGATTTTTTTTGAAGAAAGGGAAAAAACAGTGAATTTCGTTCTTTAACATTTCGCTTTATACTATATCAACAACAACAACAACAACCAAGAAGGCCACTATCAACCCAGTGAATTCCATTTTACCCATATTACAATCTGGTCTTGTGCTATACTCACCTGTGTGCTATTACTGAAGCCCTTGTAATTGAAGAAGGAAAGTCATCACCTTTATTTTTGGGTTTTTTGAGAAAAAAAATTGCTTACAGGTTGAGCTTGACAGAGAATTATTACTGAAAGTCTCTGTTTCGCCCACCTCTTCCCTTGATATTTTGATAGAGTGTTGAGCTTTAGTATTCAAGAGGTCATTTATGGAAAAAATTCATCCCGTTACATATATGAATACATCACTACTGTCTATATTCAAGTTTGCCATATAAACAATACAATACATCAAAACAAAGTGGTACCAAAAGAATCATAAAACCACTATAATTGAACTACACACTTCCGAATAATTGGCTATGTCAGCCGATAGGAACGTTAGATCACAGTATCCTCATCGTTGGGGGTCTTCTGGGTCGTCTGGGGATCGTGATGATAAACAACAACAACAGTCCTCAAGTTATCAAAGGCACAGACAATTGTCAGGTGCTTCATCATCTTCAAACTATCATGTACCACAATCAAATAGATCATCAAGAGATTCTTATACCGGCAGTGGAACAGGTAGTGGGAGTTATTATGATTACTCTTACAAAAGCAACCGTCCATATTACCAACCTCACAGTTATCGTCATCAATCAAGACCAAATAAGTCCAGTGACTCCTACGTGGGATATCATAGGAACTCCAAAGGTTCTGAGAACCCATCATCTCTGTCTGAAAGAATTGATAGTTCAACTTCAAATGGATTCAAGTCAAATAAACCTAATGGGTTTGCAAGCGGTTATGATAGTTACTATGAAAGAAGAAATCAAAGATATAGTGGAAGTGCCGAGTATAGAAGGAATCCAGAAGAGAAATCTGATCATTATTACCCACAAAGAGACCGCAGAACAAGTCTCATATCATCAAGCTCGTCAACCAAACCAAATAGACTTCAGAAATCTGATGAACGCTCTGTTAGTCCACTGAATTCAGATCCATATAGCGAACCACCAAAGCTCACTGAAGGATACCAAAGAAAATCAAGACCTTCATTGATACCCAGTAACTTCAAAGATGATGATAACCAAAATGATGAAGAAGATGATGACTATGAACTAGAATCAGCATTAAAGCATATTCCAAAACCAGCTATAAGGCAGGACACACAAGATGATAAAGAAACAAAAGATGAGACTGAATCATCAAAAGAACCATCTTCTGGAATTCAAGATAGAATTTCTGAGAAAATACCCTTGACATTGGAACATAAAGAAGAATTGGATGAACAAAAGGGGACTCTTACACGTCAATCATCTGAAGACTCAACATATGAACCAGAACAATCTTTGAAAGATGATAAAGTTATCAAAGATGAAAAGAAACCAAGTGATGTTAATTTAGATGACAAGATGGATGTTGACCAACCAACAAGAGACGAGGAATCTGATAATTATGAACCAGAAATTGATGTTGTTGAAACTGAGCATGAGAATTCTGAACCTTCACCAATACCACAAGAGAAAGAGGAGCATGATGAAGTGCTGGAAGATAAATCTGAAGAGGAGCCAAAGCTGCCCATTGATGAAGAACAAGTCAAAGTTGAACCCAAGAAGAAGAAAATCACCGAAGGAAAACTCATTGTACCACTGGAGAAAATTGATGGGTGTATTTTTCCAATGTCAAAGACTCAGCTGAGAGTGTGGGAGTTGAAAAACATCTCAAGAGAGGACATTATTGAGGTGAGTCCTTATTTACTCAAGAGACCAATTAAAAATCTTGAAGATTATCCTTTTTACTCTAGAAATTTGCTTGTACATCAGCAAGGCTTTAAATTAAAGCTAATGGAGAAATTATCTGTTTTAAAAGGATCTACGTTTGACCATAAAATATCTTTATGGAATGAATATTCTCAAAGAAGTGATGATTGGAATGAGAGATGCGATGAAATGGATGCACAGCTAAGAGATTTATATCCATCACAAGAGATAGAATCCGAAGAACAGTCCCAACAACCTGAACCTGAACCTGAACATCATCAATCATCTACAAGACGTGGTGGTCGTTATCACGGTGATACTGTTAGATCCGAAGCTGAATTTTTGGAAATTTTGAAAAACTTGGAAAAAGAAAAAGAATCTGATCCATTTTACAAAGCTGAGTTGTTAGCTGCCAAAATCCCAGATATGATATTAAATCCTGTTGAAAAAAATTTAAAAAGATTGGATGTGAATAATTTGGTTTTAGATAAAGAAGAATGGGCAAAAAGAATCAATACTGATGGTGTTGATAATTTCTCGAAACATGAACATGAGTTGTTTTGTGAAGCTTTTTTATCAAATCCAAAAAAGTTTGGACGTATTTCAGCTGCTATGGGTGGTTTAAGAACTCCTCAAGAATGTGTCTTACATTATTATAAGACTAAAAAATTATTGACAGATTATAAACAATTGGTGGCTTCAAAGAAGAAAAAATATCGCAAAGGTAAAGGAAACCGTCGTATTTCCAAATCTAAGAATGCTACTGCTACCAACACGTCTGCTCCAAACACTCCAAGTGTTGAAACTCCTGCTGATAGTGGTGGTGAAGAAAAGGAATTGGCTTTAGAAAATTTTATTCCAAAAGAAGTTGTTGCTGAGGAGTTTTACACAGAAACTGGTCGTCGTCGTCGTGCTGCAGCTCCAGTATTTGATTCATCAAAAGGTGCAAAGAATCCCAACGAACAAGATAATGTTGATGGTGCAAAAGGAGAAGATGAACGGAAACGTGCTTTGGAGAATAATTCGCCAAATGAAACTCAAGATGAAGATGCAAAGAGTAATGGTGCTAAACATCCACCAAAGAAGAAAGCTAGAGGGCCAAAATTAAAGAAGAAAGAGGAAGTAAAGATTGATAATATCACACCGCCTGCTATTGAAACTGAAGAGGGAAGGAATGGTGGTCGTGTTATCACTAGTTATTGGAGTGTTAGAGATATCAATTATTTTGCAACATTGATAGGTGAATTTGGTACTCAATGGGCTCTTATTTCAGAAAGAATGAAAACGAAAAGTACCACAATGGTTCGTAATTATTATTTGAAAAATGCTGATAGTCACGGATGGAGAAGTATTGCTGAAGCTGCTGACAAGAAGAATGAATCATATCCACATTATCCTCAAAACTTGGTGAATAATCCATCAGAACCACAAGTTCTCAAAAGACCACCTCTTGGAGTTTTCAGCTCACATGGTGACCTTCCAAGTAATGTTAATGTTTCAACTACTGTCAAACATGAACCATCTGCTTTACCATCAGTTAAAAATTTGGCTCCATTTTCTCAATCAGTTGTACCATTACAACCATTATTCCAACCTCAATCTCAACCTCAACCTCAGCCTCCACAGTCACATTTGCCATCCATTGGGGGATCGAATAGCCGGTCTAATCCATTCTCCATCACCAGTCTGTTGAATCCTTCTGAAGAATCTAAACCATCACTCCCAAATCCAAATCCAATACCAGAAACTTCAAATAGGGGTTCCTTACTTCCAACATTCAATGAACAACGTGATGTTTATGCTTCTTATAGAAACCCAGCTTCTAATGGGAATGGTGGCTCAAGTGTTTTAAGTATTTTAAACAAAGAGGAACCAAAACCTTTTAATCCATTGAGTACACTTGTTGCTGTCGCTGCTGGTAATAATAATTCTACTTGGAATTCACCTTCTACAACTGGGCAAAATCTACCAAATCTTGGGGGAAACAAGTTTGATTACAATAGAGATAATCTTCCACAACCTTCAATGTATCAGTTCAATGGTCCTTTTTCAGATGGGAATAAGTTTCAACAACCAGAGAATCCATCTTCTACTGCAGGATTACCATCTAATTTCAGGAACATTCTTCTTCCAAATGCAGGTCAACCAGATCAGAATAACGGTATGAGAAACGATAACAATAATAATAATAATGCTAGCTTTTTATGAATGATTTTTTTTGTTCTTGTTGTTTTGCGTTTGATTTCTTTGGTACAAGAGAAATAGATTAAATTGTACATATTAATATGGGTTATGGGGTTTTTTGATTTATACGAACATTCGTGTTATAACAATTTTATGTTTCTTAATACGTTAACATTTTGTACTGTAATGCGATCCACGAAAAAATTGGAGAACTGTTTTTTTTTGAGCGCGTCGAGAAAAAAACGCATGAAAAAATACGTAAACATCGACAACGAGAATAATCAAAATAAACAAACTGGTGATAGGTGAGGAGTTTACATAAAATATACTTAACACGTCTTTCATCTTTTCCTTCTAGAGATCAAGCTAAGAGACCAACCACGTATCATGTCAGAAACATCTCTAGACTTCCAGTTCCCATCCATTGATAGGCCATTTGGTGTCAGCTTATGGTCTTATTTTGACTTATTTGCTTCAACTGTTACTCAAGGTCGTTTTGTTCCATCAACTTTTAAATTCGTTGAAGGTGAAACCTTACTATCAACTTTCCCACCAGTTGCTATTACCATTGCTTTGTATTATATTATCATATTTGGTGGTCAAGCAATTTTCAGAAAATTTGACTTACAACCATGGAAATTGAATTTTTTGTTTCAATTGCATAATATTTCATTGACTTTAATTTCATTCACTTTGTTATCTTTGATGGTTGAACAGTTGGTTCCAATCTTGTACCATCATGGTTTATTTTATGCTATCTGTAATAGAAATGCTTGGACTCAACAATTGGTTACTTTATACTTCTTAAATTATTTGACTAAATATTTGGAATTTGTTGATACTTTATTCCTTGTTGTCAAAAGAAAGAAGATCATCTTCTTACACAGTTACCACCACGGTGCAACTGCTTTGTTATGTTATACCCAATTAATTGGTGTCACTTCTATCAGTTGGGTTGTTATCTCATTAAACTTAGGTGTCCATGTTGTTATGTATTTCTACTACTTCTTAGCTGCTAGAGGTATTAGAGTTTGGTGGAAACAATGGATCACAAACTTTCAAATCATTCAATTCGTTTTTGATTTGATCTTTATTTATTACGCCGCTTTCATCAAGGTTAGAAATGATTTTGGTTTCTTCGGTTGTGCTGAACATACTTGTATTGATTGTGTTGGTACCACTTTAGCTACATGGGCTGGTCTTTCAATCATTTCTTCCTACTTATTATTATTCATCTTATTCTACATTGATATTTACATCAAAAAGGGTAAGAAGGCTAAAGTTGTCAGAAGAGTTGGTGGATTTGGTAACAAAGTTAATGAATATGTTAGTATTGATTTGAAGAACGTGGCAACTCCATCCCCATCTCCAGCTCCAACCAATAGAAGACGTGATTCACCACCAGCTTCAAGCAGATTAAGAGAGTCTACTGTCAGAAGAAGAAAAGCTTAAACTGAATTGCGCAGTATGAACTTTTAAACCATCTAAAATCTAAAGATGCACTAGAAGAGTCTAGACTATTTAAAGAGAAAATCACACCAAAAGAACACTATAAGAAAACTCATTGTATTTCCCAAGGGACTATTGCAAATGTGTGTATTTCTATCATGATAATTATTAGGAACTCTATTTCGTAAACACTTTTGATCTAACCTTAGCGAGCTCAATAGATCTCCGTAGCTGATCACTATTCACATCACCTATTATAGTCAATGATTTAAGATTCTTCCCTTTCTCATCAACGATAACAGAAATAGTTTTCTTAGCAGATATTTCCTCTTCCTCACCTTCAATATCTGTAAGAAGAACAGATTTGGTATCAATATCCATAATGTCTTCATCTTCAACTGTTTGAATAGATTCCTCATCAAGATCAACAACTCCAAAATTTGATGAGAATCCAATGGATTCTTTAACCAATTTCAAGGAATCATTAGCTGATGCATCACATATTATTTGATATTGTTCTCTAATTGTAGCATGATTACCACGCATTCTCACTGGTATTTTAACATCTGCTGCACTCTCATCAATATGAGCTCTTGGTAGTTTAGTGTTCTTCAAGGCAGAAATTAATGAATCCCAAATCAAATCAAATAATGGGCCAGTACGACTAAAGACCTTGATTTTAGCATACAGCGCAAACGTCCAGGTACGTTTAGGACCAAGATCAAGACCAGAATCATCCTCATCATTCTCTCCTTTATAATACACTTCAACTTTACCATCTGAATCAACGCTTCGTAGACCAACTTTCACTTTCAATGCTTCTTTGGTTAAAATTTTTGAATGTAACAAAGTTTCGTATAATCGTTGTGATAAAATCATTTCCTCATCTGTTGGTGCACCGACTCTACCTCTTTCCACCTCAACAACAGGATAAACACTTGTATAGTCTTCTAAAGCAGGCTTTCCAGAGTCTGAATCGTTTTCTTTATCTTTGGCGAAAACTGCGTTAACAGCAGCTGCATCATCATTGATTTCATGGGCTGGTAAATCTTCCTCTATTATACCACCAGTAATCGTACAGATAATCGTTGTGCTTCCTGATTTCAAAACTGAAGATCCTAAAACTGATGAGTTTTTGATTTGGTCATTGGAATATCTGCTTAATCCACCATCACCAACTTCAATATTTCTAAATTCTTCAAATTTACGTAGATTTGGACGGATCCCAATTGCTAAATGTCTTTGTAAGGACAATTCTGGAGAAATACGTGCTATCACAGCAGGCGGGAATGACATTGGCTTAAACTCAGTTTCGGAAGTCTTTGACATCTTGATCTTTTACTGTGGATCTTGAATTTTAAATATTTGAAGAGATGAGCTTCTTGAAGTTATAGATTTTTTTTCTATATAATTTTGACGGCCTTTAATTTTTTTTTACCCTGATGTGCCATACAGTGGCCATACCGAATATTTTCCATAATAGCAAAAAATCGATGTGTTCAAGATCTTTTTCCCAGCTATTTCTGGGGGTTCTAAGTTGCTAAGCTCATAAATATGGTTCAATTAACCGTTGTTGGGTCTCTTAACTATGATTTGGTGTCTTACACTGAACGTATTCCTGAGGCTGGTGAAACTTTCGCTGCTAATTCCTTCGAGACACATATTGGTGGTAAAGGATTGAATCAAACAATATCATTAGCTAAATTATCACCACATGTGGAGGATTCACCAATCAAAGTCAGAATCATTGGTAAAGTTGGTGATGATCAATTTGGGAAAGAACTTGTTGATGCTTTAAAAGAACAAAGTGTTGATGTGAAAGACGTTGAAGTTATCAAGGATGTGAGATCCGGGGTAGCTGTGATCATAGTGGAAAAGTCAACAGGAGAAAATAGAATCTTGATAACTGCAGGTGCAAATGGGGAAACAAAGTATTCAACTGATGAACTTGTAAACCTCTTTCCTCCAGATAGTGAGAGAGAAGTCGTTGTTTTTCAAAATGAAATTCCTGGTACCATAGACACAATCAAATGGTTAAAAGAGAATCGTGCAGAAAACATAGAGGTTGTATATAATCCATCACCATACAGTGAAATAAGTTCTGAAGTGATTGATAAAGTTGATATTTTAGTCGTTAATGAAGGCGAAGCCCTAGAAATAGCCAAAGACATATTACCTCGTGAGGACTATACAAATTTCAAGGATATGATTAAAAAGGATGAAGTTGATGGTTTTCTTCGATTAGCTATAAAATTGAAAGCAAAAATTAATCCTGATAATTCAAATGTTGTTGTGATAACTTTAGGTTCGAAAGGTTCAATTTTTACAGCACCGAAGAACACAGGTACAACAAGTAAATTTGTCGAGTCTGTTAAAGTTGACAACGTTGTTGACACAACTGGTGCTGGTGATACTTTTTTGGGAGGGTTGATAACTCAAGTTTCATTGGGTCAAGATTTGGAAAGCTCAATTAGATTTGCAACCAAGGCTTCTTCGTTAGCTATTCAGCAAAACGGTGCTGCTAGCAGTATTCCAACTTTCGAACAAGTCACACAACAGCTCTAATGACCTTTTAGCTATTTATTTTATTTAGGTTAGACCGAATTGGCCTACAAGTTTAATTGAAATTACATACAGTTTTAAATTCTACCAATTTCATTAATCATTATACATAAATTCTTAAGGTCTTGGTGAGTTTACCGTATAAGTTTGGCCAGATGGAGCATTGTTGCTAGCACTATAAGTTGAGAGGTTGTCATCAGAAGCTATAGAGTTTGGTGAGCCTATTGCAGAAGAGTCCACATCTGATTGCAACGCAGAATTATCTATCAGCTGGTGCTTTTTAACACGCCCCAACAACCTTTGTTTACGACGAGACGACGACAAATCATCCTCATCATCTGTACCAACATGTACACTTGAAACATTATCCTCTGATGAATCTAACTCCTCAATAACTTCATCTTCTTCACCTTCAGAAGAATCATCTCTATTTTCCTCGTAGAATTGTTGTTGCAATTTTAATTCTTGTTTCTCACGTTCATCATGCTCTTCTCTCGATTTTTCAATCAACTCAGATAGCCTTTCACCACCTAAAAAGTTTGATGTTCTTCTTCTATAAAACAAAAGGTATGCAGCACCTGTGATGGATTTTTCAGGTGATGTTGCGCTAACGCGGGAATCATCATAATAATACCATTTGTTATCAACAAAATTCTTGACATATGACGTGTAATGACCACCGCCAATACCACCATAATGATTATCAACAGCAAATAAGTCATAAATATACTCTTCACCATTTGCAGCCGGTTTAGAGATATAAGGCAACATATCAAGAGTCTCAATAGGAAAATCAACAACTGCATCAATTTTATCACTAAAACTTCTTTGATTTTCAAATCGTTTCAAATGAATAGATAAGATATCAGGCGTTTCCCAAATTTCAATCTGTTTAGAAGCCTCACGATGTTCTTTACAATCTGAACAATACCACAAATCATGCTCTCCTAATACTTCTGGTTTAGAAAACAGTCTTAAACATTGATCCAAATTCAAAACATCATCTTTTTTCGCAGCCCTTTGTGCCTTAGAACGTTCCACTTCTTCATTTACTAGCACTTCTGGGGTTGTCCATGTGTTATTTCCACCTTCACCTTCATCTTCAAGACCCGAGAAAAAGATATCAAAAAATTCAGGTGTCCATTCACAGACAAGCGCAATCTTCTCCTTGACAAGTTCTTTTTGTTCTGGCTCATCATGGTTATTATAGCTGGTTGCTTCAGAAATGGTATGGTTTCCATTCGTTCCATCATTATCAAGGGCGTCTGAAGGTAATTCTTGCTGTTCTTGTGCTGTGCTATTATGAATACTTGACTCAAGATTCATATCAACATCAGGGGTTTCTTCATCATCGTCAGACAACAGCAAACTAGTTAGTTTATCATCTTCACTATTATCTTGGTTTTCTGTCATGGTTTCATCAACATTGCCATCCTTATTCTCTTCAGAACCGGTCACAGGAGTTTCAACAGAAGCATCACTATTCTCATTTGAGTTGTCTATGTCCAATTTTTTACCGTAGGTATAGTATGCACGTTTAGCACCACTGACAGAGTCTAATAACTCAGGTAGATTTGTGAAATTATTACTTGTTGTTGGAGTCCAAAGCGTTGAAGCTTCATCCTTAGATGAGTTTGAGGAAGAATATCTGCTAAATTGATACGGTTTTCTTCTAGTTCTGACTTCCTTTGAGGAATCAAACAACTTGATCTTGAATGCATAGTCACCTGATACATCTGGGTTTGCTAATGATACATCAGAATCATAACCTTCTTCAGCAATCACGCCCACATCTGTATCACCTGCACCTTTAGTTTCAATGATCTCAGCCTTTTTAATATTCAACAACGGGAAGTCTTTTGAAGCAAATGTTTTCCCACTCTGATTTTCACGAACTTTGGTAAAATATTGAAAAGTGCTGAGTTGTTCATATTTGTCTTCAAGTTTTCTTCTAATAGTTCCAAATGATTTTCTCTCAGATGCCGTTAGGGAAATGAAAAACGGTATAGCAAACGAATCCGGAATATTTGAAGATGGTGGCAATACCGTATTAAATACTGGAACAATAAGATCACCTTCATTGTGTTGAATTTCATACATCGCGACAACATCACCTTCAGCTATCAAATCTTGTATCGGTAAATAGTTTGATTGAGATTCCGGATTTTCAAAGTTTTTGTAAAATTGGTGATTGAAAATCTCAGCTGAAAACAAGTGTTCGACTTTTAAATCCAATTTTGAAGCAACATAAGACTTTAAAGTATTATAGGTGGATGTTTTTGGCAATTCAACCTCAAAAGATTTGATTGGACCACTTTCCAAGAACAATAAAAGCTTGAAGTTCCATACCTTTTCTGTAGGTAGAGGAAGAGTCAGATCACTGAAAGGATCAAATGTAATGGACACCTTTGAACAAACTGGACAGATCAAAGTGGATTTATACAAGCCAACGAATAAGTCTATAATAACGGAATCATTTCTTAGTTTGTGCTGAGACCAACTTTGTTCAGCCAGCTCTTTTATAGCATCAATATCTGCATTTTTTTCATTTAATTCAGGTTTTTCCGTTATCGGTTTTTTGATAATTCTGTTCAAATCTTCGTGTAAACCATCCAATAAAAATGCTAGAAACTCTTGAGAATCTTGCTGATGATAATCTGCAAACATTGAGTTAAAATGACCAATTGTTTGTTTGAACTCACGTGGAATAATAGATGTGCCTCTGCTCGATTTCTTATCAAATAAATTGTGAATTAGTTTGGCAAAGCTTGTGGCAACTTTTCCACTCATACCTAGTGGATTATCTGTATTCAATTCATCTTGGAAACAATTGAATAAAAAGTATTGTGTTAATTCTGGAATATGCACAAGACATTGTAACGCAGAGTTCATGTAACAAGTATTACCTAGATTTTGTAACCCAATACGACCATCTGATGGGGTTGGTGGAAATTGAATAAAGTAATTGGATGGCCAGTAGCTTTCTTTCTTTTTATTGGTATGAGAAGTGACTTTCTGCTCCACCACCAAATGGTTTATTCTTAATCCAGTCTGTTTGATAACAGTATCTTTGTGTTCATGTTTAATCAAATACTTGTTCTTCACGTTCAAGAAATTTGTTGGTGATAATTGGTAGTTTAAATTTACTAGATTATCATCATGGATCACCCAAACTCTGTATTTCTGATCCTCTGAGCTTAGCGAGTACTTGGAGATATTCTCTTTTTCATCAAGTGTTTCAACCGCCTTTTGAATAATATCTTGACATGTGTTCAATAAAGATAGCGTGAAAGATGGAATGGTAGTATAGCTTGAGCTATAATGGTAGCCTGTAGAATTCGAATTATCTGCGACAAGATGGTGGACATAAAAAAATGGTTTTGAAAATTCAGGCTCCAAACGACCTTGATTTTCAATTAAATAGGTTGTAACCGGGGATGAATTAGGAACCAACGAATACCAACTAGCTAATTTCTCAAATATTTCAGAAGACACAGCAACAAATGGATACTTTTCTTGGTCAGCAAAGATTCCTTTTTCATCGATTATATTTGAAGTGTCAATTGGACCCAATTGGACCTTTGCATCTCTAGCATCTTTAAATTCATCGTGTAGAAAACGTTGAAACCATGTATGTGGGATAACTTTTAAAATTGAACCTTCCGGTAGCAACTCTTGCTTTTCTAACAAATCAGCTATTGTTGACTTCTGTATCTCAATTGGGGTCAGCTCAACACTATCATCATCAATTTCATTGGCTTGTTCATCCTCAATAGAAACTTCTTCTATTTCAACAATGTCATGATTTGAAATATTTTCAGTTGGCGGAAATTCCTCATCACTTTTTTTATTTAGAAGGCTAGCACTTTCTTTCAATAAGTCTTCGATTTGACCATGATCTAGTTCACCAACCGCGGTTCCATCAAACGTCTGTTGTGTATCATTTAGTTGCTCTCTATCGACCGCCATGGCTTTTTCTGGAAAAAGTATTATTGCCTTTGATATTGAGCAGTTATCTAGAGGTGGAGCGTCAGCAGAGTTCCCGATTGGAATTGAACAAGTAATATCTCTTTCAAAAGGGTTAGGCTATTGTATGATTAATCTCGATTTTTGGTGAACTCCATCATCGACAGCTACGTCGCTTTTTTTTTTGTGATTTGATTACATAATACTTCAAATAAGAAAGCCCTTCTACGTCTTTTACGCGTTTTGACAGGTGACAAAAGGCACTGAAAGGAGGATTAAATAAACAGTCTAGAGATCATGGTTCTTCATGGTGGCATGAGCTCGATGAAAGCACATAGGTCCTTTTAGGTTGGTCGTATTAACCCTAGCTGATCAGCCAGAAGTTCGACGTTTTATAGACTGCCAAATTCGGAGTTAAAAATGTATCTGATCTACCATTTACAACAATGAATCAAAAATCAAAAACGTATCATAAAAGAACTTTTCAAGTATCTAAAGGAAAAGGAAAACCAAAATATTATACAAGGATGATAACAATATGAACAATGCTTTTTGTGAAATGCCAGAAGTTTATAAAAAATGCACCAATGAGATAGATAAAAAAAGAATTAGTCAAAAATATAAAAAAAATCATGCGATAGATTTCATAATACCATAACCCACCGTGATGACAACGATATATGCAATCAAAGATGCTGGAACACCTCTTGTGATAAAAGTGTTGACATTCAGATATCTGTTACCCAATTCATCAGTCATTGATATAGCTGTAACATTAGGGAACCCACTTGATGCTAAACCCATACCACTTGAGGCCAATAATGCAATAGCAAAAATCAGAATAACAGCGGAATTATTACCTGGTAATGAATCACCAATTTCTTTAACTAATGGAATGATAATAATTGCTGAAACTGTATGGGAGACAAAAGTTGCAATAACCAAAATCAAAATACCAAAGATGATTAGCACAACATAAATATCAAAGTCCATAACTTTCTTTTGCAAAGCCTTAGCAATGGTGGCCAATAAACCTGATGATGAAACAGCTTTACCAAGTGCTAATGAACCCATAGCCAAGATAACAATACTCCATGGGAAATTGTTGATATCGGCAGTTGACAAAAGACCAGTACCAAAGAACAAGACAATTGGAATGATTGCAACTTCACCAGATTCACCAAAAGTTGTTTCAAGTTTTGTTAAAACACACCATAATAAAATAGTACCAATTGTAACAACAATAATAAACCATTGTTTGATTGTGAATTTTTCTTTAATTGGTTTATATTTCATGACTTTTGTTTTGGAAATGTCAAATGTAAAAATTAATAATATCCAGGTTAAGATTAATGAAATGATTGAGACAGGTAATGCAACACCCAACCATTGACCCCAACCAATACCATATTCTGAAAGATAAGTCATTGCAACAATATTTTGAGGTGATGAAATTGGTGAAGACATACCTGCAATATTTGAAGCCAAGGCAACACCAAGAATCAAAGCTTTAGCAAATGGCGAGTCAGTTGGTAAAGTTCTTAAAACACCTTGAATCAAAGAATAACATAAAACTGGAGTTGCAACATTTGAAATCCACATTGATAAAAATAAAGCAACACTCATAATTGACAACAAGATATTACGAGGTTTTGTACCACTAAAAGCCAAGATGTAACTAGCGAAAACTTTTGCAATATTGTATTTGGATAGAGCAGCAGCTAATGCAAACCCACCCAATAACACCATGATTGTTGATGACCACATTTTACCCAAGATATAAGCAGATGATTCAGGAGCAGCCATAACATGACCGTCACTATCTTTAACAACACGGAACAAAACAACCAACAATGGACAAAGAATAGCAGTAACGAATAATGGAATTGCTTCGGTGGCCCATAATAATGCAACACAAGCTAATAAAGCCATACATCTGTGTTCAGCTTCATCATTAAAAGTTTTCACACCAAGTAAAACAGCAGTGATTGCAATGATAATAACCAATTTATAAGTTCTTGCAGTGTTTAAAAACTTTGGAAGTTTGAAATTTTCCCATTTTGTGAATTTGAAGTCAACAGGATAAGGTAACTTCCATGAATAATAGTCCAAGTTGTATAATTCATCATTAAATTGAGTGGCATCTGCACTGACACCTTTCAACCCATTTGTTCTTGTTTCGATACCAATCATATCTTTCCAAACTGTGTTTCTTTCCCAAACAATATGTTCTCTCAAGAATGATCTCAATTCAGCTTTACAATCTTCCAATCTGTTCAATCTGTTGGTTAAGGATGCAAAAACTTCGACCAGGTTATTAATTTTGTCATCTAATGAGGCCAAAGTATGATAGCTAAAAGTATAGCTATCTTTAAAGAATTCATTAGTATCAAATAAAGCTGGTTTTAATGAAGTGCTCAAGGATTTATCAAATTTTTTGGTAATCTTGTTGAATCCCATCTTGTTCAATTCAATGAATGATTTCAATTGAGATAAATCAACATATAACTGGGTTGTTCTTTTCTTCAAAGTAATTTTGTTTTGTGACTTCATATTCAAATCAGTTTCACTCAATAATGCAGAATTTTCAGAATCAGAGTGGTCCAATTCTTCATCTTCATCATCTTCTAGATCATGCTTACCACCAATGCTTGATTCTTCATCATAACCTGCTCCTCTTGATCTAGTGGAAACTGCAGTGTTATCTTTTGAAACTTCCAAATTGAATGAATTTGAAGCATTAATGATGGCTTCATTTATTGAAGACTTGTGACTTAAAATTGATTTATTATCATTGAAATAAGCATTTGATTTATCCATATTGAGATGAATCTTGGAATTTTCCAAGTCAGCAATTAAAGCTTCATATTCTTGGAAGAATTCATGTTCTTTAAGTTTATAAAATTCATCAATTTTCAATAATTCAGTTTCCAATTTTTCCAAGAAAATCTTTGAAGGATCAAAATTTTCAGCATTGAAAGAACTTAAAGAATTCATATCATCCAACTCAAAAGTTGTTTGATTAAATGAGTTTTTACGCTTTCTTTTGAAATTCAAAGCATTTTTCAACTTCTTTCTAGTTTCACCACTTTTTTTCAACTCTTCATTATTCAAATCAGCAGATGAACCAGTACCTTCAGAAACACCAGTGATATCACCTTTTGTTGTGTCTGTGTTGTTTAGTTGTTGAGCTTGTAAATTGTACACCAATTTCTTCAAATTTGAATAGTTGATGTATTTGTCTTGCCATTCTGGCACAGAGTTATATTTCAATGACAAAGAGAACTTCATTTTGTTTTAATGAATAACTATAGCTTGGAGATTAATGATGGTGTTCTGAACAAAGACGAACTTAGCACTAGACCCCTTTTATTCAATGTGAAATATTCCTCCTCAATACTATGTTGTTAGCAAATGGACTCAAATGTACCTCAAATTGAGCTCTTTTGAGTATAATAAGCCGTATCTAATAGCTTCTAATGTTTGAAAGAATGTTAATGATAAAGCCTTTCCTCGAGAAACTGACTAAACCAATAATGATAATAGGCAAATTTGAACTTCTTCTATGTGTCAAACCGTAAGCGACTGCACAAGACTTTGATAACCGTTGAAACTGAAAGCTTAAACCTCTCTACTTGATCTAGGTACCACGTTGGCTCAAGAAAGTAAAAGCTCACACGACAGCTAAGAGAATTTTTCTTAATTCGAAGAAATTGTGTTAAAGTTGGGAAATTGATCACACGAGCTTATACCGAATTGCAACAGGCTCCAAGACATTTTCGATAAAATTATTTTCTCTCCCACGTGGGCCCTTGGTTTCTTTTTTCTTGGAAATTCGCGAGACCGAAAAATGATTTCACGTGACTCGGCACATGACTCTACACGTGACGTTTGGTTGGAGTGGCTTTACCAAGGGGTTTCTATTTTTACTAAGGTGTAACTGTAAATCCCCCTGGTTACAGTGTTACCCTAGTTTCGTTCTATTTTTATTGTTTACTGTGTAGTGTTTCACAAAATTATGGGCCATCCATCTCAAGTGTAATCAGAAAACAATTTTTAGAATCAAGACATTGACAGCTCAACTTCATCTGCCACACACTTTTATACCCTCTCCTTTGAAAGTCTCCCATTAAAATAGTAAATTGGAACTTTAAGCTAACCTTCTGCTAAAGTCCTCAGGTCCCAGTTTGCAAAAATCAAAGAAAAAAGTTGAATCATCACCAATATTGAAGGTTTCAGATTTCTAAAGGGTTTGCCGATAGAACACCGCTGCTAGTCAACTATCCACTATTACTTGATTATCTTGATAGTTTGCCTACTAGAAAACAGAAACGGGAAGTTTGATAAGCTCCAATTTTGGCTATAAGGTTCATATCTTTATCAACGGACGGAATAGCATGCCAAATAGAAGGAATAGAAAAGGAATATAATCATACTCTTCAACAACTTCAACACCTGCTTTATAAGTCAACCATACAACTCATCAAATTAAAATACAAAAAAAGCATTACAATCTATAGGTTGCATACCAAAATGGACAACAACGAAAATGATTATATGACAAATTTCCACAATTTCAACCAGTCTACTAGTCCTCAGTCTAAAAGAAATACTAAAAATTTGTCATTAAAGTTAGGTCCATCAAACCAGCAATCTATTGGTAATGAAATTAGACCAAAAGTCCAATCACCTATACCATTTCCAACAATAAAACATGATCACAGTTTATCTTCTTCAGGAACTCCATCAATATCTGGCTCTCCAATATTATCCTCATCAAATCCACCAGCACCTCCCCGTCTTTTCAGACATCCATCACTTTCCTTATCGAAAGGTAATAATAATGTCATAGAGTCAAATTCAACACTTAGAAGAAGAACAACTTTATCGTTATCAATCCCTACGGAGCCTGAATTGAATTCCAAAACATCTGCAAAACTATCCTCCAATTCAATACCAAGCATATCATCAAGCAGTCCTATAACTTCATCTCCAATAGTACCGTCAACACCTTTAGAATTTGCGAATTTACCAAATCCATCATCAAAGAGATCAAGTTCCACCACATCCTCAAATCAAACAATACATAACGAGAACGGTGGTTTCAACAACAACAACAATATACTAAGGACTCAAACTTTGATACAAAATTTGTCAAATATCGATTTATCAGGGGAAGGTGACACGAATAAGGTGAATGCATACCCAAACGGACCTGCTTGTGTTTTAGAACCTAATCTATACTTATATTCAGAACCAACTGCCCAAGAATTAGAATCATTTGATTTAATTATAAACGTTGCCAAAGAGCTAAAACCACCGATACCCGATAACATTTTCCCAAAAGATAGAGTAACAAATGTGAAAATAAGGAATGGAGAAGGTAATTATTTTTTTGTTCCATGGACACATACTTCAAAATTATGCTCTGATTTACCTATGTTGACGGACTTGATCATTGATGCCCTGGCAAATGCCAAAAAAGTGTTGATACATTGTCAATGTGGTGTTAGTCGCTCAGCATCTTTAATTGTTGCATTATTTATGAAGTTGAAGAATTTAAACTTGAACGATGCTTATAATATGTTGAAAGAAAAAGCTCCTGATATTAGCCCAAATATGTCTTTAATATTCCAACTTATGGAATGGGGTGAAATTATAGGCGTTTCAAGCACATCAGGCTATAATGATAATCTTTGTGACTCTCCAATTAGTTTACAAAGTAAAGAAAACACAAGCAACGGAGAAATAAAAATTCACCACAACACTAATGATCCATTAATGACATTTCAATAATAAAACTACATATCAACAAAAGGGACAGTTTAACTAACATATTTCCATTCATTAATATTTATCATCATTGTAAATTTTTTTCGCTGTAAGTTATCAACCTTTTCATAGCAGTGATCCATCTTCTAGTTTTCTCATCAATCATGATATTTGCCTTACCACCAAATAATTTCGAATCTCGACTTCTAGCATGGATAGAAACTGATACAACACCAATAGGCCAAGCAACGTTCCCTATACTTAATTTCATATAAGATTCTAATGCCTTATTGTGCTGTGATCTTTGTAGATGATACAAAATAGTCAACAATGAAGTTAATTGTGATTCCTCCAAATTATGTTTGCGTAATTGAACAAGCATTGGAAATAATGACCTCTTTGTGTCAAGTAATAGATCTGAAGATTCTTTATTACCTTTTGATGTTGAATCCCAGTGATATAATATGGTCTTGATGTATTTGTTCGCCTTCATTGAAATTGAGGGTATATCTTTAAGCGAAATGTCTTCTAATGAGATCACAAGCTCATTTGGAACGTTCCGTATTTCTTCTTCGTCTTCTTCGTCATCTATTTGTTCAGGTTCTGTTGTTGATTGTTTCTTATTTGGGTTCGGTGTTTCATCTTCTAGCTTTCTCTTCTTCGAATCGGTCTCTGTTGAGGTCGAGATTTCAGTAACCTTTTGATCTTCTTTGGTCATATCCATCGATAAACTTGGAACCCTATCTTCCAACACGACTTCCTTTAATATTATCGAAGACAAGTTGATCAAACTCATAGAAATTTTTGACATGATAAAATCGCAGTGTCCTCAACGAAAACTTTGTGGATTTTTGAGAAATTAGAAAACATCATTTAATTCATAACATTCAAAGAAACATTCAACATCAATTGTGTCGCCATCGTTAATAGATCAGAGATTAAAAAGATGACTAGCGAAAAGGCACAACAAAAGGCTACTGAAGATGGTGGTGCTGAGGCTGGTCCAAGCGTTTCTAAAGAACAGACAATCTTGCAAATGCAACAAGAAAATGAGGGTTCAGATGAAGAATATATATCAGAAAACGAACAGATAATTGATTCAAATGATGCTTCGACATTGACTAGTGCATTGGACTTGAATATGTCTAATGCGGATCAACATATATGGCTGGTTAGGCTACCTAGATTTTTAGTTGAGAAATGGAAACAGAAGGAGTTTTATCAAGGACAAGAATTGGGTCGTATTAAGATTAAAAAGGACTCAAAACTTGCTGATGTTAAGCTAGAGTTGAATAATGATCCAAGTACGGAGGATATCCCACATAATTATGATATTAATATGCTTAGATCTGCTGTGGAGAACCAATATGTGTTCACCGAACAAAACTTGGACAACTTCAATAAGAATGGCAATGGGGATACAAAGAAAGAAGACGATTCAGATGAAGATATAATTAAGACACCTGCCCCTACTACAGCTGATGGCTCTAATTCAAATGCAAATACAACACCAGCTGCAGCCGCAGCTCCAAAACCAGAATTAACCAGAAGAGAAGCTGCTTTCTTAAGAAGACGCAGAAGATTTAATAGATTTAAGAATCAAGATGGTACAGATAAAGTTATTCCATTTGTAAAGACAATCCCTAAAAAAACAGCATTGAGAGGTACAATTGATCATGAATGTCAAGTAAATCCATTAATATCAGATCCAAACTATTCCAAAATCATTGCAAGACGTAAGAATCTAGTCAAAGAAGAACCAAGACCAAGTGTTACGTTGCTGAATGAAATTCCTGGTGTCACTTTGAGTAATGCTGGTTTGACGTTGAAATCAGATACTTCAAAGTTCTTAAAGTCATCAACTTCAACAAAGAACAAAGGGGAGGGAAGAGCCATTCGTATGCCCCAGAAAGACTTGTTCGATTTATTGTTCAAATTATTTGATGAATATGATTATTGGAGTTTGAAAGGTTTAAAAGAACGCACAAAGCAACCAGAAGTTTATTTAAAGGAGACATTAGAACAAATTGCACAATTAATTAAAAAAGGGCCATATGCTCTTAAATATGCATTGAAGAGAGAGTTCAAGGAATTGAAAGACCAAGAAAGAGCTGAAAGATTAGGGGAATTGAGTAAGGATAACGAAGATGAAGATGAAGATGATAACGAGGAAGATGTTGAAATGGAGGATGTCAATATGTAAGTTAACACTAGTGTATTGAATAGATTTGGTGTATGATTACAGATCTCAACCTAAAGCTTAGGAAGCCTCAACCAAAAATAAAATATTAATGACAGTTTATTTAAAAATAACAACAAGTACTTTGATTAATCAACGATAGTTTTCTCTAAAATGTCTCATATAAGATCTAGTTTGATCTTATCGATAAGCTTAACGTCTATAGTCTATGGCCAAAATGTTTGTGACTGTTGGTCCGGAAAGGGAAATCTCGGTGCTCAACATCCGAACACCTCGATGAAATTTTGAAAAATTCACCAGAGAGCCTTTGAAAAAACAAAAGAAGCCGATACCTATACATAGAGGTTCAACAACTGTCTCAGTATACAACTCATATAAAGTAAAGATGGCTGTATGTTGACTTTTGAAATAGAATGCTCTTGCTAGTGAACTATGAAGATTTGCAGATGGAACGTAACTAACATTGGGATTTAGCGTGAAATTAAAGATATCAAAAAATTCGTTGAATTAAGTAGAAGATCAGATGTCAAATCTGCTTCAATCAAAAGCAACAAAAAAGTTAACGCTGCTGGTAAAGTTTTCAAAGAAACCAAATTCAAAATCAGAGGTGCTAGATACTTATACACTTTAACTGTTGCTGATGCTGAAAAAGCTTCAAAATTGACTCAAACTTTACCAACTACTTTAAAAATCACTGAATTATAAATTGGTCTAAATAAATGAATGGGTTGTTAATTTGATTTACAAAGAATTTAAGCATTGTAACTTTATTTGAAGTGGAAACCTGTTCGTAGATACAAATTGGAAGAAGTATTTAAAATTAAAAGTCAGTGTTAAACCTATAAACTCCTAGCGTCTTTAAAAATACAATTAAAACCCATGGGCAAAAAACTTCAATAATCCTTCTCCTTCTCCCTCTCATTTTCTTTTTCATTCTCCAGTATTTCTGATGTTTTGTCTTTCTTCTCTTGAGACACTTTTTCATCTGCGAGCTTCTTCAATTCTAAAGCCTTAACAGATTCAAGGACTGTGGGTTGATCATCAAATCTTAGACTTTTTCTCTTTTTTGCTTTAGAACTGTCGGAAGCAGATGATTCTGACGTTACTCCAGACGCCTGGACGTTTTGGATTTCTGCAGTTGGGACCATTTCCGTTTTGATATTTATCGATTCATGATTGTGTGTTGATTGTGTTGTGGTTGGTTTTGAAGTTGAGTTGATTGGAACCAATTCAGCTGTTCTTATCCATCTTCTTCTTCTTGTGTATTTTGAAAATGAATCCTCTGTCGATGGTTTCTTCCATGTATTGTCATAATAGATGAACCCATCATCAGGTCCTGGATTAGCAGTTGTTTTAGGTTTTGAGCTTGGTAGTTGAAGTGCACCATCGTTAGTTAAATCCAATCGCCATGTTTTGTCAACCCATCTCCAAACCATACCTGAACCTTCTTCAGTTTCTGGAAGTTTGAATTTATCAGTTGGGGACGATTCGTTCAAGAATTCATCTGTCCATGCTGTTCTTTCATAACTCAATAGATTAGGTGTCCAACCAATACCTAACCAACGACGTTGGTTCTCATAAAGAACATAAGTGAACACAATTGGCTTACCATCTTTGTTCTTGATTCCTACTTTTTCATTAACTTTCTTAACAGCTGCAAATATACCTGAATCTTTATTGATATTGATGCCACCAAAATCTAAACCTGTCATATAAAATGATAGCAATCTAACCAATCTGAATTTCCACAACACTTTTCTAGTAACTCTGGAGAAAATTGAATGATAAGTTAGACAGTACAACCCAAATAATAGTAGCAATGTTCTTGGTGTTAGAAGAAAGTAAGTTATAACCACATATAATGGTGATAAAAACACAGTTGTGAAAAGCAATCTCTTGATATCATATGAAGTTAGTGCCAATGAAGTAATTGGATTCAAAAACAAGTCAGCCTTAACAGTGACACTAGTCAAGAGTTGGATAATATCATCTAGAGTTGGTTTGGTGCTAATTGTTGTTTCAACATGTTTGCTTAAAATTGAATATGCCACCAATATGGCGACAGCTAAAATGTGTCCAAAATAAGTGACAATTGATTCAAAATACAACACCAATGTAGCATATACTGCAACCACCAAAAGACTTAACCAAGCATCATCATTCGTCCAAGTTAGCACACTTAACAATTTATCTGCTATAACAAAGTAAGGATATGACTTGACTAGGATCTTGGACACTGTGACAGGAGTTGATGATAATAAGGGCGAACTTTCAGTCTTTGTCTGTCCACCAATGCGTTCGTTGAGCGCAGATGATCTTCCAGTGAAGGCGGCTCTGGTTTCCACGTCTTCTTCAGCAGGGTTCTGAGCAGTCGACATGACTTTTTGTAAAGAATTGGGCTAGATTGGAAGTTGATGTTAATGGTTTGTTTGTATGGGTTTAGTGGCATCGTTTAAAGTTGGTCTTTTTTCATGAGAAATGCGTGCGTGTAGCAGAAATCACGAAAAGAGTAAAAGAATTAGAAGCTCATCTCTAAAGACATTTTATTTGATTTATCGATAAGCAAAATGTTCAAGAAGAGAAATGTCAAAGGTGCTAGTAGACAAAAGGTAATAAGGAGAGATAGCTCTGGCAGCAGTGATGATAGTGATGGTGAACATGTGGTGACGAAAAAAGTGAAGAAATCAACTCCAGATCCCACAATTACTAAACAAGATCCAAAAGAAAGTGCCACTGAGGACAAGGATACAACTCTATCAAGAAATGAAGAGGCCACCAAAGTCGATGCATTGAATCAAGAGCTTATAGAGAAGGATAGGCTGCGTAAAGCTAAAGAATCCAACGGAAATGACAACGAGATGATAAACCAAGATGATGGTATCTATAGAGGGCAGGCCAATTATACCAGCTTTATAAAACCGACTAAAGGACAAGCAATGGACAAGATTGGACCCAAAAAAGCCAGCTCAAATATTAGAAGCACAACAGTGTTTGATTTCCAAAGAGATATTTGCAAGGATTACAAACAAACAGGATTTTGTGGGTTTGGTGATAGTTGTAAATTTTTACATGCAAGAGATGATTTCAAAGCAGGATGGAAACTAAACAAAGATTGGGACTTAGAGTCAAAAGATAAGGAGTCTAAAATAGAGAAGGAATTGCAAGATATACCGTTCAAATGTGTCATTTGTAAAAGTGATTACAAAAACCCAGTCAAAACAAGCTGTAACCATTATTTTTGTGAAATGTGCTTCTTAATTAGAAGTAGAAAGAATCAAAACTGTTTCATATGTGGCAAAAATACGAATGGTGTTGCTGCTCCAGCCAAAAATCTACAATCAATATTAAAGAGTTAAATCGTGTGAATTTTATGCGTGATTGGTTGGTACTCTCACATCCGCATAGAGTGGATCATTTCTTAGTGCATCAAGCTCCTGTATAACACTAGAAGTATTACCATCGTTCAGTATTTTCAGGGTATTCCGATAAGACTCCAAGAATGTTAATTTGGTAACGTATTCAAACTCTTTATTGTCATTATGGTCATAATCATCGTTATTGAGCTGCTCTTCATATTTTTGCGTAATATAAGGTTCCTTGAATCGATCAACCCAGATATTATTGAATGAATTGTACTTGCTGTCAAAATTTTCCACAACTTTTGTCCACGCTCTGATATCACTATTGTATAAATAAACTTCATTATTTTCCATAAATGCTAGTATTTGTCCGCTTCGAAGCTCCAGATCAGCTAACTGTGAAGTTATCTGAACTTTCCTCTCTTTAATGTGTTGTTCATAATTCATTATTGGTGCTAACGAAACTTTCTTATGCAACTTCTTGAAACGTTTTAAATCATAGCTATGAATGATATAATCATCAGTCAATACTATCAAACTATCAGCCTTGCAACTCATAAAACTGATATTATAACCAAGTTCAATTCTCTGGTACAACATTCTACCTGTTGGTGAATAAATCAGCAAGGCACACGTATCTGTAGCCAATATCCAGTATTTGTCAAACTCACCAGTGATGCCAGTAATTCGATCTTTTAGATAAGTTTCGAACATGAGTTTCCCATTGGTCTTTGCTCGTACAATAGTTGGTTCATCATCTTCTGGATCTTCATAATTTTGAGCCTCCAGTATAGAATGTTGATCACCATCAATAAGTCTTTTATAAATCAGCCTTGAAGAATCATATGATGGTTGAAGTTGTAATATAGGTATCTCTTGTTTGGTTTTTCTTTTCTTTGTAGAGTACAATAAGTCATCCTCTTCGTCCTCTTCATCTTCATCTTCTTCATAATCATCAATTTCATCACCTTCATTCTCTTCATCATCTTCTTGAACCACTTTCTTAACAAAATAACCATGGACAGACGTATGTAGACCAAACTTGGGAAGACTGAATGGAGTTTTGGATAGTAAATTAGTTGCTGCTTTTTCATTCTCAACTTTTTTCGTAGAAACCGTCACATTTTGGAACTTGTTACTTGCGTGGGTAGATGCTGAGGAAACTGAAATCAATGTTGGTGCAACTCTTTTCTTACCATTCGTTAAAACTGCTCTATTTAGTTTAGTTTTGGAAGGGTCCTGTTGTGGAGCCGCAGGTAGATGTGGAGTTGCTGGCTGTGAAACAGGAGGTGGGATGGGGCGAGGTGCTGGTTTCTGTATGGTAGACTGTTCAATTCTTAACAAACGATCCATATGTTTATCTGATAAAGTCTTTTGGAATTCTGCAGCTTTTTCTTCTAAGATTAATTGATTGGCACTTTCTGCGAAAACCATACTTTCTTTATCGACACCATATCTATTCAAGATCTCATCAGTTTTATTAGATGGAACGCTTTTCCCTAATTCACTTTCTTCAAAGACAATTGCTGCAATTGTACCATCCAATGAACATGCAAATAGAGTTTTCCCATCGGGAGTCCAGCAAAGATCCGTAATAGTTTTATAAAAAATATCTTCAAAGACAACTATAGGACTTGATGATGCTGTATTCCATATTACCAAAGTTTTATCTTGGCCACCAGTAGCTAAAGTTGATGATATTTTTGTTTCACCATTTTCATTAGATTCATAAAGTATTGGAGAAAAAGATGCAACTTCACAGGGACTTTCATGTCCGATTAAACTGATATCTGAATCCCAAGTTCCCCTGTTTATGATCGCAATTGATGTGACAGGTCCATTTGTTGCATTTGGAGCAGCAAGATGTTGACCATCTGGAGACCATGATAATCTTCTGAAATATGTGGTTAAAGGAGATTTTTTGAATGGCTGTAAGACATTTTTTTCAATAGAAAATGAAATTTCTGAACCCTTATGATATCTAAAAATCCTAATAGATCTATCATCAGAACTTGTAGCAAAATATTTATTAGCAGGATCAAATACCACACCTTTCACATGAGACTGATGCACATCAAACCTTTTGATCTTTTCAAAAGTTGACCCATTCCAGATAATAATTGATCTATCCAACCCTACAGTTACTAAAATACTTGAATCAGGCGCCCATGCCATATCTTGAATATCGTTATCATGGGCAACAACCCTTTTAGTAACAGTCCAGTGCTCAACATTATCAACCTCTCCAAAGACAGGTCTGGCCTCTTCATCTTTCTCCCAAATTAATAAAACTTTGTCATCCGAACCTGAAGCTAAGAAACGTCCATCTGGTGAAAATTTAACAACAGTAACAGCACCAGTGTGACGACTCATGCTGCATAACGGTTTGCAAGTGTTGTCTTTTACCAATGTGCCGTCTCTGTACTTCAATATATCTGCCACTGACCATATCCTTACTTTACCATCAAGACCTCCTGAAGCCAATCTGGAACCATCTGGACTTATACTGAGGGAATACACTTCATGTTTCCTATGCTCCTCTGTGGCGATGTGTTAGTGCAATCAGCAATGAAGCTCGTTGAGAAACTTACCTTCGTGATTCAGCCACGGAAGTTTGAGAATGTACATAATTGACCTTCAGGTTGTCCTGGCACTTTGTTGTTTACTTTTTTGATATTATTCCTTCAACACTTTTCGTTGTGCACTAAAAAGAAAGTCGCGACACCACTGAACAGCAAAGAGATGGCAGAAACCATAGTTTTCCTCATCACAATCTTCAACTTCACAGATGCCAGAACAGATAACGAGTACACATAGGTAATTACTTCACGTTTGAAAGTGATCAAAGGTTGGGTGACTGCTAATCACAGAAGTACACAGCATGATAATGCTACTTTTTAGATTACAAGCCACAAACCCATGCATGTTTGTGTTCCAATAGTGTACAACTAAAGCAACAAGACCAAATTCACTAAAACTTAAGATCAAAAGGATTTGGAAGTTAAAAAAAGAGGTATTTGGGCTATGACATTATTCAAGTTGGCAACCAAATCAACCAGTGTGATTCATTATGATCCAGCACGGGAAATGCAATGGGCTGTTTTGTCAAATTGAAATACATTTTACGCAGAGGGAATTTATGTTAACAATGGATTTTGTGGATCTTCTGAAATAGTAACTAGGAAGCTCGTTTTTGTGTCAGGGGATGCAAGTCAGAAGAATCGTCCATGCTTCGTAAACTGTGTTAGCTGTATTGTGTGTTTGTGTCACACTTTACTGCTGGTTTAAATAGACTGTTTGGTTTTGTGACCAGAGTTACAAAAAGGAAATAAGCTGTTTCTGTGGCAGAAAGCCTTAAAAAGTATTTAAGTGACAGTGATTCCACAAACCACTCAATCACCTTTCACTAACTTTAGATCCTCATCTCTCATCAGTGATCACCTGGTATCCATCATGTTGGTGTATAGTTTACTTATTGGAGGCAAAAAGGGTAAGAAAGGTTCTTTCTCTAGTTTTTCATCGTTCGCTAGTATGTTACTTGCGATGTAGTTTCAGTTTTCAATTTAACGACCCACGACTTAGTCTGTACTGTCGCTATACTATTCCGTATGACGTTAAGAGTTCAAGTTCTCTAGACAGAGCTCAACGGTCAACAACGAAACGACAATACACAGGAACTACGTTGGTCATGTAACGATATTCATATGAATCAATATACTATATAGCCCTCTTTAAATAATTTATTATCCACACTTCTTTTGCATTAGAAAGCAGCCTCTTCATAAACCAAACTGTTGAGTAACAGCTTGACCAAATCTCTCTAAACCAATAACCAATTTATCCAATGGAACGGCAGCATAAGTACCTCTGAAAAAGATGATATTTTCACTACCTGGGACTCTATGATCTTTTTGTGGAGGGTTGGTTTGACCTTTAGCCTTAAACCAAGAGCCTGGAATCAAAAGAGCACCGTTTTCTAAACCTTGTTCGTATAATGCATTTTCAACTTTTAATGGATCTTTACCGAATTCAGATTCGAACTTTGGATGTTTTGAAGCATCAAATTTAACAGTGAAAAACATACCTGCAACTGGTGGAGTGAATTGAGAAACTTGTTTTGGGAAATATTTGTTGACGGCATCAATTGCAACATCACGTTTATGTGTATATTCTTGACGTAAACCAATTAACCAATCTAAATAACCTTCTTGACCCCATCTAACCAAAGTACCATTGATTAAACTTTGAGTGAAACCACTTGCTGTTTGAATAGTAACTTCATGTATTCTAACAAATCTTTCCAATAATGGTTTTTGAGCAACAATCCAACCCATACGAGAACCTGGTGCAATAACTTTAGAGAATGAATCTAATCTAATAACTCTACCATCAACATCTAAAGAAATAAATGATGTAACTAAAGCTTCCAAAAATTCTTTATGAGAGTGAACAGCTTTACCAGCTCTTGAGGATGCATCTTCGGTGTATGTATCCATTTGTAAATAATAGTATGGTTCATCTTCAATAATGATGAAATCATGGTCTTGAGCCAATTTGTAGATAGCTTTTCTTCTTTCTGGAGATAATGAAGAACCAGTTGGGTTTTGACCAGTTGGAATAGTGTATAATAATTTTGGTTTTGGACCAACCCAATCATTCAAAATGGACTCCAATTTTTCTGGAATGATACCAAAATCATCAACAGGAACTGGGAATTGAATAACACCTTGAGCATTGGCGGTTTCCAAAGCAGAACTGAAACTATAATCTTCAACAAGAATAACATCACCTCTTGTACAGAAAGTTCTCAAAGTAGCATCCCAAGATTGTGTGTTACCAATAGTTGCAATGATATCCCAACCATCATATGGGATTTTATGAACCAATTTGGTATGTTCTTTTATAAAGTTGATCAATTCTGGTTGACCTTCAGTGTAACCATATTGTAAAGAGCGAGATAATGGGATATCTTCATGATGACCATTTTCTGAAGAGTGTTTACCTAATTCGATAACAACTTTTTCATCAGCGGATTGTGGAACAGCACCAATACCATTTCTGAAAGGAGCGGCTGGTGATTCAGCAGTGATCTTGTTCCATGGGAAATAGTCAGATAATGGTAAACCACCACCTAAAAAGACGATATTTGGATCAGCAAAATATTTGAAGGCGGTTTTAAGAGCTGATGGTTGACGAGATTTTGATTCTTCAGACAACAAATGTGTTAAATCTTTTGGGCCAGTCATGATGTATTGATATATTTAAAATTAAGGATACTAAAGCCAGCTTTAACGTATTCTTTGTAGAGTTTCAATGGAAAGTGTCTGTGTGTATTATATGTCAGAACAGGCGCCTTTGGGGTCACTTTATAGTTTTTTCCTCGATCAGTCATGTTGATGAAAATCTGAGAATTATCGAAATTTCGGGCGCTTTTCAATTTTCAACGTTTTTCACCAAAAAAAGAAAAATGGCGGAAACTTTGACACACAGCGAAACGTTAAATTGATGGTCAACGCGAATAATGTAGAAATAAACATGTATAAGGTTACAGGTTTATGATATAGGATTAAAAGTATAAGAATAGCACTATCGCAAGGCAATAAAATCCCGTTGTAGGAGATGTTCTGCTACTAATTTGGGGTACCTTCTTAGTTAAAGGCTAGCACCGGATAGTATCGGCCAGGAAGGGTCTCTTAACCTTTGCTGGACCTGTAAAGAGCATGATAACGAGAAAAGGCTTCTTGTTTTTTTTTGTCCGATATGAGTTTTCGAATTTAAATGAGCCTGAATCGTACTGTTTTTCTATGTTGGTTACCTTTAACAGTTCCTTATATTCTCGGGCCTTTCCTATAATGCTTAACCTTCAGCTATCTGCAAGTGCGACCGATACGACAGTAGGGGACGATTTTATGTAACGTACACGTTAATACACACGGCTAAATACAAGGTTTAAACTCAAAAGAAGCTACAAATCACAGAGTGTACACATAAACAAAACTTCATACATTCATTCATTACTGGTGCATTTCAAGTGCTCCGTTAATATGACTACCAAGGTCAAATCCTGCCTATTGATTCTTGCCTCAACATTCCATGTATCTAACAAGCTAGGGAGTTCTTAGGATCAAGTTGTAATGAGTTAACTAAGAGTCATGAAGCAAAATATGAACTGTCACATAGCACCCATAATCTTCAGGCTCAACATCACTAGACTGTATATCTGTACATCCTTATAACTCATATCATCAATGAGTCACAAATAGTGGAGAATTATCTTTTAACAGTCCCCTTTGTGGTTCCTCTCCCTCTAACACTAGCACTTCTCGAACTTGTAGTTCCTCTTCTTGTAACTGAACTTCCTCTTGTAGAAGTTGATGAATTACCATAAACACGTCTTCTCAGGGCGTCTTCGCGTTCTTTAGCTCTTTGCTCGAGTGCTTGTCTTTTCTGTCTTTGAGATTCTTTCTCTTGTTCCCTTCTCTGCTTTTCAGCGGTGTATTTTTTATTCAACTCTTCAAACTTTCTTAATTGTGAAGCATATTCTTCTTCATGTTGTGTAACTCCTTTCCAACTCTTATCATTTAACAATGCAGTAGTGTATGATGTTTGGGACAAAATCTTGATCCAAAGGTCTAGCAACTTATCTGTGGAGTCTGTAGTGGAAATGACGGTATCTATATGGGAAGAAGTCGCATCCATAGAGCTTATGACATTATCAATGGTGGAATTTATCTGTTCAAGTTGATCCAATTCATGTTCCAAGGCTTTAGCACGGTTGCTTGGTGAAAGATAAGATTGTTCCTTCGTTGTATCAATTGTTGATTTTAACTGCTCGAAAGTGGGTAGTAGCTCATTAGACATCTTGTACCGGTCAGCTATTTCAGCTTGTCTTAATATAAGTTCAAGTATTGTTGTTTACATGTTTCCTTCCAAAATTGTTTTCATTTTTTTCGCGATTCGAGGGTGCCCTCGAAATTGCCTGAAATGTTCCGCGAACCGCGAATTTCCTTGATCTCTCGAAAAAGTGAAATCAGCGATTTGTTCAAAGGAGCAAAACCCCTAACAATATTGAAAGACATAAATCAACCAGAAAAAGACACCAATAGTCGAGAAAATCAACGATAAAATATGTCATTTATTGGTGTCTATAAGGCATTGTATGCATACACTCCTCAATCCAATGAGGAGTTGAGCATTGATGAAAACGATATCCTATATTTGTTGGAGAAATCAGATGTTGATGACTGGTGGACCGTTAAAAAGAGAGTTGTTGGACCTGATGCTGATGAACCTGTCGGTTTAGTTCCTTCAAACTATATTGAACCAGCAGACTATATTGGATCCGCTACTGCCTTGTATGACTATGATAGACAAACAGAAGAGGAGGTTTCATTCAAAGAAGGTGATCAATTTCAAGTTTATGACGATAAAGATCCAGATTGGATCCTAGTTACTAAAGAAAACCAAGAGTTCGGATTTGTTCCATCAAACTATATAGAATTGAATCTAGGTGGTTCTTCTGCCGCTCCAACTGCTGCTCCAGTTCCAGTTTCTTCAATTCCACCACCTCCATCACATCCAGCACAATCTATTCCAAGTTTCCAACCTCCTCCACAAAGGCAAGATAGAATTGAAACACCGCCAAAGGACATTGAACCTGAGTCGAGCTATGCTCCAGCTCCAATTTCAAACCAACAATCCCGTGATAGACGCAATGATTATGATGATGAGCAAGATTATGATGAAGCACCACCTCCAAAACCAACTAGACCAACACAATCACAACGTCCATCATCTTCATCCCAACCAACAAGATCACAACCTGATGATGAAGAGGATGACCAACTGTATACCTGGTCTGTTTCTGAAGTTGAAGGTCGTAAAAAAAAGAAGGCAATGTTGGCTATTGGTAATAGTACTATTTATTTTTCACCAGATTCTGTTCATGGAGGCACACCACATCAATGGAAATCCAAAGACTTATTATCATTTAGTTCAGAGAAAAAGCATTTGTTTTTGGAATTTAGAAACCCATTATATTCCTTGGAGATTCATTCGGGTACAAAAGAAGTTGCTGCTGAAATTTTATCAGTTTTAGGTGAATTAAAAGGAGCTGAATCCGATAAAGGTTTAAGAGAAGTTGCTGCTGCTGCTTCATCAAAACCCAAATCGTCTTCTCTATCATCATCTAAAAAGACTGGTAAAATTCTATATGATTTTGAAGCTCAAGGTGATGATGAATTGAGCGTTGTGGAAGGTGATAATGTTTATATTTTGAATGATAAAAAATCTAAAGATTGGTGGATGGTACAACTTGTTAATAGTGGACAAAGTGGTGTTGTTCCTGCACAATTTGTTCAAAGCACTTCAGAATCCGGATTATCATCACTGACTAGTAAATTCAAAAGATCAAAATCTAAAGATAATATCCCAAACCCTTCACCATCTAAAAAGGAGCAAAAAAGATTACAAGGCCCTAAGGCTTCACGAGTCAGAACTTGGGAAGATAGCTCTGGTACTTTCAAAGTTGAGGCTGAATTTCTTGGTGTCGTTGAAGGTAAAATACATCTTCACAAGACCAATGGTGTGAAAATTGCTGTTGCTGCTCCAAAATTATCAATTACAGATTTAGAATATGTTGAAAAAGTTACTGGTATGTCTTTGGAACAATACAAAACTTCAAAGAAAGGTGCATCCTCATCATCAAGTGATCCTGACAGAGAGAGAAAAGAGAGAAGAGAACGTGAACGCAGAAGACGCGAGAGAGATGAGCGTGAAAGAGATCGTCAAGAACGTGAAAGAGATAGAAGAGAAAGGGAATTGGAAAGAGAAGAAAGAGATCGTTTGCGCAGAGAATTGAGAGATGCAAAGACTGGCGAAGCTGTTGAATCACCGCCTCCACAACCTGCAAGACCAGGATCTTCATCTGCTCCTTCTAAATCAAGTAGAGCTCCAAGTGCTCCAAAAGATGAATATGATTGGTTTGAATTTTTCTTAGAAGCAGGTGTTGACGTCAATCAATGTCAAAGATATACCAACAATTTCAACAAGGAACAAATTGATCCAAGTATTATTGAGTCAATTGATTCCTCAATATTGAGAACTCTTGGTTTACGCGAAGGTGATATTATTAGGGTAATGAAATATTTGGATCAAAAATTTGACCGTCAACCAAAAACTCAAGAATCAAACTCTCAAGGAGGCTTATTCACTGAACCAACTGGTGCACTGAAGACAAACCGTACAGGCTCAGCTGGTGGTGTCACAAATACATTACCATCACCAACTAAGACAACACCATCTAATGTTGACGATGATGCATGGACAGTTAAACCTGCTGCTACCAACACTGCAGTTGATCGCCCTCCTTCTGTTTTGACTCAAAATTTCACAGGATCAATGCAAGATTTGGTCAACTTGAAACCTTTGGCCCCAACTGCCACTGCCTCATCTACAAAATCAGTACCTACTTATGCCCCAGTTCCTTCAAAGCCATTACAACCTACAAAATCAGGAGCAACCACTAACACTTCCAACATCAATGTCCAAAAAACTGGGGATTTTATCCCATCGCAACCAACTGGTGCCATTTTAGCGCCATTAGATCCTTTCAAAACTGGTGGTGGTAATATTTTACCATTAACTACAGGGGGTGCGTTTGTTTATTTGCCTATTCAACAAACCGGTGCATTGCAATTACAACCTACAGGTCTGGTTCCAATCCAACAAACCGGTTTATTGCCATTACAAAAGACTGGTGGTAACACAGGTGGTTTGATGCCATTGCAAAAAACTGGAGGTGGATTACCATTCCAACAAACTGGGTTATTACCTTTACAAAAAACTGGTCCATTAGGGGGATTACCTCAAACTGGTATTAATCCAACTGGTTCACTGCCACCAGCAACTTCATTTGGTCAAACACCAACATTCAATCAACCACCACCAACAACGTCGTTTGGATCACAACCTACAGGTGGTTTCATACCTCAAAGTCAATTTGGTTTACAACAAACAGGTCTTGGTGGCCTTCAAACAGGTCAACCAACTGGTGTCTTCAATGGTACTTCATTCAACAACTTTCAACCAACTGGTGGATTTCAACAACAACCACAGCCAACATCATTCAACCAACAACCAACATTCTCACAACAACCAACTGGTTTTAATGGACAAACACCTTTTAGTGGTCAAACTACTGGTTTCAACGGGCAAACTCCTTTCAGTGGTCAACCAACTGGTTTCAATAGCATCTCTAGCCCTCCAACTTTCAATAACCCACAACAAACATTTGGTCAACAACCTCAATTCAATCAACAAATGAACCAGTTGACCAATTCCTTCCAAAATGCATCAATACAATCCCCTTCACCATTCCAACAACAACAACCAACTACTTCATTCTATCAAAATCCACAACAAACTCAATCATTCGGTGGATTCCAACCTCAACAACAGCAACAACCATTCTATCAAAACAATGCACAATCGTTTGGTGGATTCCAACCTCAAGCTCAACCTTTGCAACCACTAGAATCACAACCAACTGGGTTTGGATTTGGTAATAGTGCACCAAACACAAGCTTTGGCCAACAACCATTAGGTGCTCAAATGACAGGTGCTAGTAAGCGTGCTAATTTGGCGAATGCTACAGCTGATAATCCATTTGGTTTTTAGTGGGAAAAAAAGACTTTTTTCATTTGTTATTCTCAGAGAAGTATTTAGAACTTGAGTGTTCATTCTGTTTTATATAATAAACTGTACATTAATTTGTGTTTTATAATTCTTTGTATGTTTTTATTTCGTATGCAGTAATCTAAATTGGTGTGGCGCGTACCGTGTGATTTCCAGATCAAGAGAATATGGTTTGTGCGATGGATTTTTGTCAGGTATTACATAACCAGAATAACCAATTATGCACAATTCATCAATACTCAACATTTCACATCAACTATAAGAAGAATCAAGAATCCACTAATTGTAACATTATATGTATATTAAGAGAACATCGGAATTACCTTATATACACACAGTAGAGGATATTCTGTCAGGTTAAAACCACGAATAAAATAAAACAAGTGATCATTAAATCAACATCAACTAGAAACAATGGCTGTCACAAGAAACTCCAATAGAAGAAACACCTCTTCAACCTCTTCAACCTCTTCAACCTCTTCAACAACTAGAGTAACCAAAACCAGAAAACCAGCCAGAAAAACCAAGGCTAATCCTCGTGTTACAGCAATTGAAAACAATATTCTGCATCACATGCTGCATCAACATCTGAAACACACCAAACTCAACCACTTCAGAAG